TAAATATGACCTTATATTAATTGAAATAGTATATCAATCTTCGCAATAGTGTTAAAAATAATGTGTTTGTTGCACGGTAAAATGGAACATTTTATGATTTAAAGATCTCAAGTTTTATTTGAAAAGTTACGGGAAATAAAAAGCCGACAACTTTTTCCCACCAATTTTTTCAAAAATCTTTAAAATAACCTTTAAAGTCCTGAAAAATAAAACGAATGATAAAAACATATTTTCAACTAAACTTTACATAGAGCCTTTAAGGAAACGTTCATTGTCTGTCATGGTCCACCATGTTATCTGACCCTAAATAGCCACCTGGTGGTGAAAGTGATAACTCCCTACCTATTGGCACCTAGCACATCTTCACAATTTCAAGCACATCTTTCACGTCATTCAGACCGTAATAAGGAAGCTCCTAAACAAATGTAAGTACCCTAAAACGCAGATGATGTGAGACACATTCTGCTAATATACTATCAGGAATAAGCTAGGTCGATAAACTTACAAGATAGAGCCTTTGTTTTGCGAAAATCTGTCAATCTTTCACTGAACCGTACGGTAATTGTACCGATAACAGTGGTTTTTACCGGAGAGCGCTGTTTGATCCCTGCCTATGCCAATGCAATTATTGCAGTATTATGACCTTTGTGATTTTTACCCATTTTTTTTACTGGGTCTTGCGGATTATACCGGAGGGTGTTGTTTTATCCATACCTGTGTAAATGTAAATATTCTATTTTTTTCCTCAAAAATGCCAAAGTTTATTAAAATAGAAATTCAATTAAAATTTGATGGCGTCAATTGTACTACCGAACTTGGGTAAAGGGTCACAATCCTACACCTATGCTGTTCTTAACTTGCTTACAGAGTTATTTCATGTTTGTTACGTTACAACATTGAACTATGGGTGGTCTGATAAAACTTTCAGATATTTATGATAAATAGTCTGTAAGATGATTGAATTTATTTATTGCTTTCAGATGTTTATGACAATTAAATTGTCTTTCGAGAATTGATATTCATTTTTATTGCATAATACTACTGGTTTCCCAGGGAAATACTAGTATGAAGGAATAAAAATCGTATTACATGAAAAAATCGTATTGTCCCCGGGAAAAATCTTATTGGAGCATATTAACCTATTTTCGGTTTCCCGGTTATTTTTTCCCGGTTGTTTGCATCATCACAATGTAGCATTTTAGAGGGGTGTATTATGGAATGCAATAAATAGGTTATTTCTGGTCGGGATTGAATATGGGTTTTATTCCGTGCGCTCCCTCGCTCAATATCATATTACCCTTCGGTCAATATCATATTGTCCCTCGGAATAACAACATATAAAACTGAAATACTAAACTGTTATAAATGCAAAAATGCATAGGATATGAATCAAAGTTTAAAATGTCATTATAAAAAAACATGGCTTACATCTTGCAAAAAAAGGTGGCCGGTTTCAAAATGGCAGTGGTACAATATCATTCATACATAGTGTACCAATGGAATGGAGAAACCAAATGAAAGAATCGAAACAGACGCAAATTGATGCAAAAGAAGACTCTATTTCATTCCAAGGCACTAGTACAGACAATGACCAACAAGGATGTATAATATTTATACAATGGTCAGAGCAATATCAGGTATATAATAGCACGTGGTAAATCACATATTTGGGACAGGGATGGTATCAGGATTAGAGGGATGATATCGGGGATGAAAATATTTCGCACTACTTCCTCAGTGATCATTACCATTAGTTAAAAGTTGGTCCTCTGGGAATGAGTAAGTAAGCCTTTTGGAAGTCAATTGGACCTGATAGTACAACATCACGGCATATTGGACCCGACATTACATCGGGCACAACTTTCCCTATCTGAACTTCTTTTTCTGTGCAATTTTCCGCAATGCATCTTCCGCTTCTCGGGTATGGAGTATTGATATCGCTCTGCCTTTTTTACTATCGCTGCATGACATTATGTCCAGAACTTTTTTCCAGTACGAACGATACGCGTTCCTGAGAGGACTGTGATGCACACAATAAACAAACGGACTGTAGGATGTCGTTGCCAATGTAAAGATGCACCGCAGTGTAAAGTTGAACGACTTCCATTTCGATTGAGCAAGTTCATTTCCAGGAAAACTGTCTAAAATCGAGAGTATAAAAAACGGTCCCCATAACAAAGCAAAAACTGCAGACACGACGATGAATACTTTCTCCAGCTGGCCGTATAAAGCAGTGTACGGTGTATTCAGGGGGCGCACCTTATGTACTCTTCGGACAGTTAAAACTAGATGGGCGAGGCAGCTTCCTATTGTAATAAACGGCAAAGTATATCCAAAAATAAACAGCGTGACGATCAAAAAATTGTTCGTGTCAGTTGGGATAGCAAATGGTTTACAAGTTGCGTGAAAGGTTCCGTTGTCAACATTTGTTATTTCCGAGAACTGATAAAGTCTAGGAGCAGAGGCGAAGATGGCCATTGTCCAGATCAGGAAAATACAATACTTGCCATGTTTGATCTTGATCTGTGCTTTGAATGGGTACACGACGCGTCTGTGCCTGTCTATAGCTACGAACATGAGCGTGTAGATGTGCGAAAGAACGCAAGCCATTGAAGAAAACTTGAAAACTCTACACATAAAGTTGCCAAAACTCCAACTTTGCCGTTCGTGAAGTATGTCGACCAAATGAAGAACATCCGTGAAGGAAATCATTATTAAGTCAGCGATTCCAATATTAAACATCAAAATATACGAGAACTTTTTAAACTTAATCTCTTTGTGTAGAATTCGACATGTGACAATGTTTGTACATGCGTTAAACACGGTAAGAGGAACTCCAATAGCGACGAAAATGACTTGTACAATATGTAATGGTAAACTTGATTTGCTGTTCATCCTTCCGTTTTTCTGATTAATTATCCTTATGTCTATTTCCAAAGTGAATATTCCTTTTTGTATTTCAATTTATTTCATTTATATCACAAAGCCTTCAAAGAGTTACAACTAAAAGTATCAAGAGCCTAAAAGAAGACTGAGAAGTGTTACTATTACTGCGTGTTTCTGCATCCCGGGTTAATAATGTCCAACTAGACTGCTGCGTTTGTTGTGGAGTGTGATTATTTGTGCGCCTCGATATATTACCCTGTGCAGATCGAAAGGTATTGGCTGTCTGTTCTCACATTAAAACAATTTGCTATGATCTAAGCATATGCTTAAAGGCAGAATCAGATCTATGGGGTTGACAAAATCACTAGCAGTAGCAATGTGTACAATTTACCTACCAATCTATTCCTTACAATCTCAATTACAATATCTCCCAAAAGGTTCACAATATGTTATGAATTGGTGAAGTTATTAATGATTCAAAGTGCAAAAATGAGTGAAGTATGTTTAAATTCTGCCAAATAATAAGAATGGTAACCATTCTTAAAGAAAAATAATACATTGTAAAAATGTTTAGTTTTCTTGGTATAAAGTACTCACTTTTGTGATTTTAGAAAATAGACATGAAAAGGAATGACATGAGCCAATATATTCTAAAATTGAAACAATTTTTTGTTTAGCCTGCTCGCTATATATGATTCTCTCTTTAAATAAAAAAATTAACAATTTAGATCTCATCCACAAGAAAATCGCAAGATATTGTAGAAGTTCTACAATAGACCCAAAGAGAAGCCTCTAAACAGAATTTAGTTGATTGCCTTTTCACATGTAATTTCACTGAAATAACTGATAACAAATATCCATGAAGTTCTCCAAAAGACACTTAAACATCTTCCTTAATTTCAAGCTTTTGTCATACCCTTAGCTTTCAAATTTATAATAACATACATCTAACCATCTAACACAGTACTTAGTTGTCATAGTCCCCCGGGCAGGTTATAATATAACCAATCATGCATCAGGTGCAGACTAAACAAAAAAGTATAAATTATCAATTATCTCGGGACAAGGACATATGACAAAGAGATAGTCTCCATAACAAGAAAATAAATTGTTTGGGGAAAAATGTAGCCAGAAGATATAATCCTCATGGGGATCACTTAACTAGAATAATAAGATCTAGTTAGTCAGCTTAAATCTGGGGCCAAAATTCTCTGGAAATTAATTGCTCCCCCAGACACGCATTTAAAAATGATCTTAGGAAATCTGGACACCAACAAACAAAAGGACATCTAACAAATGAGATTTGAACCACCTTAGTTAAATACTAGTACACATATTACTTGCTTGACGACTCGACAGTAGATGACATCTATATATAGATTTAAGATAAGCTTAGAAATAGTACCACACATGGGTATTTGACTCACATGATTTATTTTCAATAAAAGTTGCAACTTCTCCAATTCTTTTGCATTATTTATGTAAAAATATTTGAAAATAATTCTTTGGAAGGAACCAAATTCAAAGCTGGTAATTAACGATCCAGAACAAATTAATTGCATCATGTGATATTTATATGTTTATAATTTATAAATAAAACAAAACGACGTGAATCCAACTATCTGAATGTCAGTTTGCTGTACAATTCCAGAGTAGAATATTTTATAAATAACACTGACTAAAATTAAGCAGTAGAAAATAATTTCCATCATGGGAGACAAAATGTTTCTACTTTCCTGGTGAATGTCGAGTCTCACATCATACGAATGTAATTTTAGGCGATCTGTCTGCATGGGGTGCCTTATTATATATGGGCATTGCTACTGCATGCAGTCAGAATCAGTTCCCAAATCGTTTATTGTTAATCGGTGAGAGTGAGCTACGAAGACTTTACCCTCCAATCATGAAGTGATGATTCCAAATTCAGTGCCAGTTAACAATCATTATTTTAATCAAAATGTCTTATATATCTACTGTACATGATTCGCGTAGCTAGTTGGATCTGAATAGTAAACACGGGTGCTTTATCACAATGTCCGTAGATGTCCATTTTCTCAACTTGACACCATGAAAACAGATAAAACCTCAAGTACTCAAACCAACACAAGAAAATACCTAAACTTACCGAGCCTGTGTTAGATAACTAATGGACTTTCGTCAGGATATATACGATAGATTTCTATGTTTATTTTTGAGTAGGTTCTGATATTCTATGTGATCCAGGCTGCAAACGGTGCATTGTTTAGAAATGTCAAAAGTGTGGTGTTTAGTTTTCCTCATCGGTGTTTCAACAAGGTAATGTTTAAAAATAAAAGCAAGCATGGAGTCGTGTCGGTAATGAGAAACATTCAGACTGTTATGCCCAACTGTAATTAATAAATATCTATTTTATTCACTGACATAAAAGAAGCCAATAAAATAATATTCAAAATAGAAGCGACAAAATGAAAGATTGCATTATGAGTTAATTGCTAGTGCAATCAAATATTGTACGCATTTTTAATTTTTCCAGGTTGTCAATCGGAGATGAGAGAAGAGAAACAAAAGCTGTGTTCAGGTACGATTATAACATTGTTATAATTCATTTACAACTTGTGTTGAATTGGAGTTGGCGCGTTCGATTTTGTTACTTTGATTTTGATGGTCTGGGAGTTTTCATGTTTCAAAATGTTGCCCTTTGTGCCTTCTTATTCAAGCATAGGGATTTTGTACACCTTATTGTTACCAGTTTTTATATCGGTAGTGAAAAGTTCCTCTAGAATGTAAATGTGCATTTTATATTTGACTGATTTTTGCTGTCAAACTTAATTTCACCAGAGAAAAACGTTGGTTCCTGTTGTAATAATCTACGACCTTAGAATGGAACTGACATTCAGTAAAACCCCAGTAAGCCCAGAAAAAATTGAACTTTACATTTTATGTTTATTTTAGCCAATGGATGACAGAATACAATAAAGTTTACAGAGACAATAACGAACTTCTCGCTAGATATGAGACATTTAAGAAAAACTTGGACCTGGTAGAGCGATTGAACGTTGAGCACAATCCAACCGAGTTTGTTATGAACCAGTTCGGTGACATGACTCAATCGGAGTTCAAAAGTAAAATATTGATGCCTCCAAGATCAGCACCAGTATTTGAGAATGATAGGTATGTAGGCTTATCCATGCAAAAATGTGAAAGTTTAAGTCAAGAACCTCCAATCCAAGTCATCCAAGTGAGGATTTTACATTCTACATGCAAATGATCACCACTATCAAACATAGTATGCAACATAAACAGAGCATTTATCATATGCGAATTCGTATCTTTATACTTACCTTAAATTAGTTTTCTAGGTAACATTTAAATTCCGCTGCCCTTTAATTTGGTAGATACCTAGACGAGTTTGGATTAAAAGATACAAATATTCCCGATGCATTTGATTGGAGAATTAAAAATATGGTGACATCAGTAAAGGATCAAGGTAAGACAAGTTTGCGTTTCCATTTATATTAACCTATTAACTTTTTAAGGAATATCAGAGCTCGATAAGGCACAAAAGCCAATATTAGAAAGTACAATTAAACTACAAGAGCCTGCTGATAGTTGCTTTAATGTTAAAAAGAGGGCAGGGTGGTGTTTTATATTACACGGAAAATCCAATAACTTATCTCAACTAAAAAACTATCACAATAACATATCTTAATGGCTATCTACCCATATTTGGATACGTTATATTTACAATAGGTTCTGGAGGTACATGTTGGGCATTTAGTACGATTGGTAACCTGGAAGGACAATGGGCCATGCAAGGAAAACCTCTTACCAACCTCTCCGTAGAGCAAGTGGTCGACTGTGACAGCATGAAGGATCCTCTACAGTAAGAGACCATTACATGGTTAATTTGGGGGGGGGGTAACTGGATGGTTGATTAACAACACGTTCCTCTCAAATGAAATGCAAAAAGGTATACTTTGTTCCCATGCTCCTGTTATGTAAAACACTTCAGGAGAGGAGGGAGTGCGTTGTGTAAGAAAACCTGAATACGATGGTTTTCTCCCTTGTTAGCAATCGTTTTTGTACATTTTTCCCAACGCAATACAGGGTGGTCCATAAAATGAACACAACATTGTCACCTAATTACCCCTTAACTGTTCTTGATCCAACTTTTATTTTTTCACACATATGGGAGTTTGCGTCAATGGTAACATTATTACAGTAGTTTAACTCAAAATGTCCAAAATCAGTAGTCCTTACTGATGAATAACTGAATGATTTTGACATGTTATGGAGATATCTGAAGGATAGAATCACTCCATGGACGAGTTCACAGATAAAAACAAAACCAATGATTCAATTTTAAAAACGTGAATTTGCAAATTCAGTTTGACCTAAAGTGATGTAAGAAAGTAGTCAACATGAGTGGATTCTCAAATCAATGCTACCATTACAAAACTCGATCTTACATCAGTGTTCATCTGAAGCGTGTTTATTAAACGAGTGAAATTAAATGAGATGAAGAAAAATGCGTACATTTTGTGGACCGCACTGTATACGAGTTCATCTATTTCAGCCACAATGCTGACTGTGGTGTGTTTGGTGGGTGGCCATATCTCGCATACCAGTACGTCCAACATGCTGTATGTAATACATTCACTACTTTTAAATCAACAAGTTCACATTCGATAGCATAGCAAAGATGGTTGAATATTAATTGTGTTCCTAATCTATCACAATAGTTTGAAATTCATGACTATAATGATTTTTATGTCACCACAAGTGGCGGCGGTTGGTGTTCGATGTCTGTAACAAATGCCAGGTGGTGACATTTTTCATGTTAATGCCTTGTTTAAAAATTACCAAACACAAACTTTGATAAGTGACTCAAAAGGGTTGCCAAACTTATGGAGGGGAGTGTAAATGGTTACGGTTGCGTTGATCATCTTTCTAGTTTCATTCATATCATTAGTTTTTTACTTGCTTGTTGTATAAACTTATAAGTTGTTTGTTATTCTATTTGGTTAGTGATAATGAAAATATGTGAAACTTGCTAAGTGTTTCTTATAAGCTAATAAGGTTACGCTTTAAATCACAAAAATAACAGGCACTAACCAGAACTCTTGATACCATGATGCTCGGGTAAACTAATAGCCTATCATATCTAAGGCTGTAAAATCATCAATAACAATGTGAGTGTTGCAATCCTAGGGAGGTATAGAGACAGAGGAAGACTACCCCTACTGCTGTGGCATAGGAGGAGGACCGGGTAGCTGTTTTGTGTGCCAGGCTGTTGGCTACAATAAGACGCTATGTGGACCCCCTGTACCATGGTGTAACGTAACATGTGCTGATAAAATAAATCCTAGCAAGTTTGTTCCTGGTTTGAAAGTAGTTGGCTGGAATGCAATACCAAAGGTAAACCAGAAGTTTACCCCAAGGAGCAGTCGCTAATGTGATTGTGAGTCGGGCTCCTGCCCCCTCCCCCACATCCGCCAGTGATATACACACAATGTAACTTCCTCTTTGTTTTTAGTTTGAGTCATTAACACCATACCCAAAATGTAATTTATACATACATTACTTTTCTATTATCAATCTCAAATAACTCCGATATGTTCTAAACGCGATATACAATAGTCCCATCTTTCCTATTTTCAACAAAGTAAACTCAACTTCTATTTTACGCTATGAAAATGGCAAATAATGAAAATGCTTTGATAATCAAGAGCTTTAAATCATCTCCTAAACCTTTGGAACAACACAGGGTTAGAATTAAAATATTATTTTAGAATGAGAGTGAGATAGCCATAGAGTTGGTGAAGACTGGTCCCCTCTCAGTGGCTCTACATGCTGAACTATTGCAGTTCTATCACAAAGGGGTTTTTGATCCACCAAAGGAACTCTGTGACCCAAAGAACTTGGATCATGGTAGGTTATGAAATAAAATTAATTTCAGTAAGAACGGGGGGTGTGGGGGGAGGAAATCCCTCAGTTGTTTGAAATGTTTTGAAAAAAACAGTATTGAACTGCTATGTATTATTGTGTTGTATTGTATTGTATTGTATTGTATTGTATTGTATTGTATTGTATTGTTCTGCATAGTATTATTTTGCATAATATCACAGTTGTATTCTTCAACGGATGGTTTGATATGTACTTGGATGAATTTCGAAAACATATTTCATCTCTGCATCAAATAATAATGGGTTGCTTCTAATCAAAATGATATGGTCCTAAGGGTTCTGTATTCAAGTATTCATTTTGGAGTTTATTTCCTAATATTGCCCAATATAATTCTTCATTTCAGCTGTACTACTGGTTGGCTATGGCACGGAGAAGACTATCTTTGGTGAGAAACCTTACTGGATTGTGAAGAATTCATGGGGCATAAAATGGGGACAACAGGGCTATTTCTGGATTAGACGGGGCAAGGGCGTATGTGGGATCAATACCAGTGTCACCACTGCGAGACTCCAACAATAGCATTATGTGGAAAAGTTTGGGACAATTTATGAGGTGCCAGGGAATGGGATACCCAATGGACAGAGGCAGTACATGTACACAGACACATTTATCTTTCTATGGATGTTGGGTACGACCTTGGAAAGGCTAATCAACATCGGATATGTCTTACAATCTTCTTATTAAGTCGTTCTTGATTTTCTTCATGGGGCATTAAAGGAATATTCCTAGCAAGCCCATTGCTGTCTTCATATAGTTGTTTTAACTTAGCATCTGCCATCTTTAACTCAGAAAAATTTGAGAAGAGGTTTTAGTATGGTTTTTGATCATTATGTCACCACCAAAAGTGGTGACATATTGTTATGGTCTCCGTTTTTTTTGCGACGGCGGTTGGTGGTTGGCGTCCGGCGTCTGGCGTCCGGCGTCTGGCGTCCGGCGTCCGGCGTCCGGCGTCTGTAACAATTTCTTACAACTTCCTATAACTTAACAAATACTGTTTAGACTGACTTCAATTTTTTTCTAAATCATCTACATGTTCTCAGAAGTTCAAATCTGACTTTAGATTTGACATTTGACCTTCAATGACCTTCTCAAGGTCAAAAAGGTCTTTTTTCAACTTGCTTCACATTGACTAAAATTTTTTTCAAAATCATCTACATGTTCTCAGAAATTCAAATCTGACTTTAGATTTGACTTTAGATTTGACATTTGACCTTCAAATCTGACTTTAGATTTGACATTTGACCTTCAATGACCTTCTCAAGGTCAAAAAAGGTCAAAAAGGTCTGTTTTCAACTTGCTTCAAATTGACTAAATTTTTTTTTCAAAATCATCTACGTGTTCTCAGAAATTCAAATCTGACTTAAGATTTGACTTAAGATTTGACATTTGACCTTCAATGACCTTCTCAAGGTCAAAAAAGGTCAAAAAGGTCTGTTTTCAACTTGCTTCAAATTGACTAAAATTTTTTTTCAAAATCATCTATGTATTCTCAGAAATTCAAATCTGACTTTAGATTTGACTTAAGATTTGACATTTGACCTTCTCAAAGTCAAAAAAGGTCAAAAAGGTCTTTTTTCAACTTGCTTCAAATTGACTAAATTTTTTTTTCAAAATCATCTACATGTTCTCAGAAATTCAAATCTGACTTTAGATTTGACATTTGACCTTCAATGACCTTCTCAATGTCAAAAAAGGTCAAAATGGTATTTTTTCACCTTGCTTCAAATTGACTAAATTTTTTATTCAAAATCATCTACATGTTCTCAGAAATTCAAATATGACTTTAGATTTGACATTTGACCTTCAGTGACCTTCTCAAGGTCAAAAAAGGTCAAAAAGGTCTTTTTTCAACTTGCTTCAAATTGACTAATTTTTTTTTTCAAAATCATCTACATGTACTCAGAAATTCAAATCTGACTTTAGATTTGACATTTGACCTTTAATGACCTTCTCAAGGTCAAAAAAGGTCAAAAAGGTCTGTTTTCAACTTGCTTCAAATTGACCAAATTTTTTTTTCAAAATCATCTACATCTTTTCAGAAGTTCAAATTTGACTTTACAAGTTCTCAGAAGTTCAAATCTGACTTTAGATTTGACCTTTGACCTTCAATGACCTTCTCAAGGTCAAAAAGGTCTTTTTTCAACTTGCTTCAAATTGACTAATTTCTTTTCAAAATCATCTACATGTTCTCAGAAGTTCAAATCTGACTTTATATTTGACATTTGACCTTCAATGACCTTGAAAAGGTCAAAGAGGTCTTTTTTCAACTTGCTTCAAATTTACTTAATTTTTTTTTCAAAATCATCTACATGTTCTCAGAAGTCCAAATCTGACTTTACATTTGACATTTGACCTTCAATGACCTTCTCAATGTCAAAAAAAGTCAGAGGTATTTTTTCAACTTGCTTCAAATTGACGAATTTTTTTTTCAAAATCATCTACATGTTCTAAGAAGTTCAAATCAAACCTTCTCAAGGTCAAAAGGTATTTTCCAACTTGCTTTAAATTGACCAAATTGTTTTAGGTGGTGACATTTTGTCATGTTAATGCCTTGTTTAAAAATGTACTGTTTATTCCAAGTAGGCTGCCATCTTTTCAGATTTCTCACATAAATTGATATCATTGATTAGAGGTTTGCAGAGTGGTTATCTACTAGTTCCAATATTAGAACCTCACAGGGGGGCTATATTGCCACAATCTTTGAAACATTGACCTCTATTTAACAGAACGATGAACATTGAACATCATACATTGTAAAGTGACACAAATCTTTTAGAGCCTGGATATGAATGTAACCTTAGCAGTTGAGAAAAAAATATTAAAATATTAATACTAAGATTCGTTCTTCTTTACATCAGTACATCTTCACACCCCAAAGGTGAAAATTTGCAAACTTATGATCAACAATGTTGAGATACACTTCATCTTTCATCAAAATACATTTGAAATTGTTAAATATATGAAAAATTGTCAGTTTCTTTCTTTATTTTGATACATTTTAGTGAACAATTTTAAATGTATAATTCTCACATACAGATTTAGTTTGGCACTTATTTTTTACTCAAAGGCTCCTTCATTGTACTTATTATTATCAATTGTTATTTTTCAAAAAATGATGTTTTAAAATAGGAAGTTTATTCACTAATTTGTTATTTGGACAACTTTTGTAACTTGTGAATCTCTGTAAGTAGACCAGGTCCTCCAATAGAGTAAGAACAGAACTCGTAAATGCACAAGGAATGTCTGTATTATACTATCAAATACATCACATGTTACATTATTAATGCAAACTAAAAAGAAAACTTAAAATGACATTATTTCATAACTTGATACACAACTTTCTGACATACATAAGATGCCTTTTATTTTGAAGGATCTAGATAATTTAGCAGAGATGACATGGCAACAATAAGTCATAATATGCATCTCTCTCTGGCCAATAAAACCTTCTAAAATATCAGATCATGCATTTAATATCTTTTAGGTAAGGCGTACATGTTCATTATTTGACACCATATGAAGTCTAAACAAACTCCTGTAATATATATGTCATATATGTACAAATCATACTCAAAATTCTATAAATGTTATGCACTCAACTTTAAAAATTTGTGTATAGAATTAGAAGTGCGTACATTTATGAATAAGTTACATCTGAATATATTTTACATACCCTTATCATATAAAAAATTGAAATTCTGAGAAACTAATGAATTTGGTTCATAGAAGTACATGTACTTAATATTCATTACCTTTACTGTTTATTGATAACACTGGCACGTAAGTTAAATAAGTAGGCTTTTTAAAAACAATACATTATAGAAATGTACATCTCTTTATTTATATCAATACAATATAAATAAAAAATATTGACTAGACATTTTTTTAATATCATATTGAATGAGATGTTTCGAGGAAGGGCAAAAAATTGAACTGAACCTTTTACAAACAGTTTCTCAAGAACCTTTTACAAACAGATTCTCAAGAACCTTTTACAAACAGGTTCTCAAGAACCTTTTACAAACAGATTCTCAAACTGTCTTACTCTGGCAACTTTAATACGTGTAAATTGAAATATAAAATGATGGCACATAAACACATTAGTTCATGCAATCCTTGCTCTACAAGATAAACATGATTTGCATGTATCATAAAATATACACTGCATATACGAGCATGTACTAAATATATCAAGAGTTGAATTTATCAAATTAGAATATTCATCTTTGCTTTATAATATATTACAGATGTAAGTTCACAAGTTTTAATACTGCAATAAATGATATAGAGAAATTGTATATGCAAAATGTCACCACCTACCATTTGTTACAGATACCGACCGCCAAACTCCCAACACCATCTGCCAGAAAGTTGGAGGCTATAACAATATGTCAATCGTGGTGGTAACATAGTAACCAACAGAACACATCGGTAACATGAACGATATTAAAATACATCCAATTAATTTGTCCAATTGATCTGCACGTTAAACTGAGATTTTAACTTGAATTCACACAAGCTAAAATAAACTTGAGTAAAATTAACACCTCATACTGTTGCACTTCATGTACATGTATACATAAATATGAGGAATTGTTGTTAAGACCTAAATATCATAAATATAAGCTACTTTTTACTGTCTTTCTAGAGATTCATGTCAATTTAAACTCGATGGAGAATTTATGCAACCTGAGCTTGGTTATGTAAACTGTACTTATTTTCAGAAACTGATACTGCATGTTATAAAAGATCCATCGATGGATCCACCACCAAGATCTCAGAGTTAATTATAGTTTATAATATTATAAACTGTGATCTTAATGGCATTGTGCTTTTCTGCACTAGCCATCAGTAAACTTCTGTCCTAACCACTAGTGCAACTCTCTATTAACCACTAGTACATAATTCTTCATTGGAGGTATATTAGTCTACAGAAGTATTAACATTTCCTAATTGTACTGATCTTGAAGTTTTATTCTCTTCTGTCTGTGAGATTTCTTTGTAATATACAGATTGCTCGCGAAGTCCTTCCTGAAGTCTTGCATCCTAAAAAATAATAAAGTGTTTCTCAACTGAAATTCATTCAGAACTCACTCAATTATAAAATCAGCTAGAACAATATTTGAGCATTCTATCAAAATTTATATATTGTATTTCAATCCAGACTAACATGTTTAATTTCAATAAGGATTCACATATTAGGATTCATACAAGATTGTATTTCAGTCAGAACTGACATATTTAATTTCAATAAGAACTCACATATTATATTAGGACTCATATATAGTACTTCAATCAGAAATGACATATTTGATTTCAATAAGTACTCCGCTGTGTATGTGCCATTTTAGGATGATGGTTACGGCTATGGTTATTTCTGTAAAGATCTGAATGCATCTTGGGGATCCTTTTTCATTTTTTGAGTCCTTCAATCAAAATCCAGGACCTCTCCATTGTATAAAGGAGGTGTCCTTGAAAGAACTGTGTCTATCTTGCAATGTATTCTCACTTACCCTGTGTTTAAACCAGGAAAGAAAACTGGTCCATAGCAATGTGATTGCGGCTACGTAAACAACACGTAATTTGGTTGGCAAGAAATAAAAGTTGATACATTGAGCAGCAGGCCAAACACACCAATCAACCTGAAGATAAACAGAACATCACTTATACTGATACCATATTTTCAGTAATAGAAGTACATGTACATAATTATTAAGGATTAAGCATTAAAGAAATGCTCATGAGAAGCAATTTTTTAGTCAAGACCTTCTCTGAACCACGGGGCTCTCGCTAGGCTAATTAGAATGTGGTGTAGCACCACAGTCTATTTAGCTCCCACCACAACCAATTGGCAAATCATGATTGTTCCCACAGTCTAAACTTGACTAAATACACAATAACAGTGTGTAAAAAGGTTAAAGCATAACTTAAAAATGATTTATCACGATTCAACAGTTATGCTGAAGATGTTTCAACCACAGTCACCTAAATATTTCCTGGTGAGAGCCCTGAACCACATCTGAAACATTAGTGTGTTAATCCAGAACATAATATGCATTTATTTTTTTGCTGTTTTAGAATTTTGAATGTTTAGTTTGAAAACTCCAAGATAAATAATCAAAAAAAATTCATGATAATTCACATTTTTAATTTTCCTATATTGCCAAAATAGTACAGGGTGGTCCAAAAAATGGGACACTCGTATTTCAAAAATAAATATTGATGTTCTTGATGAAAACATGTCATATCATATACCAGTGGATAGGGAATTTACTTATCCTTCTGTTAGTTCTCATCATACGTGGTAGCCACAGACATCGGGTGATCTTGGGGAGACAGTGATTAAGGGAGATCTGGGCACATTTTCCTTTAAAATGTTGACACTCTTGTGGGATGCAGTAAAACCTGTCTAATCCGAACACCCATGGGACCAGCCAAAATCGTTCAAATTGGCAGGTGTTCAAATTTCGAGTATATTGTTGGTCGGGGGGGGGATTTTCATTGTTCAGTCCACTATATTGAACACTTAATACTTAGTCAGAAAACAATACATTTTGTTGATGAGTTTATTCTACAATAGGCCTATAGCCTACATGTATATGCTATGTTTTATTTACATTTTGAACAATTTCATTATTTTTGGAAAAATAACTCTTTAATTTTGGCAAAAACTTTGTAATACACTGAATAAGTATATGATAGTCTTGTACGAAATCTTATGCTTATTAAATCACTTATCTCATATTATAATAGCACTGCTTTACTTTAGCTTGAAAAAGTCGTTCATTGTTGTTTGTTTCTTGGCACTTTTAGCATTAGCAATATTTGAGTAGATACCCTCTTCAATTAAAAATAACTTTTCATGAGTGCTCATTCGAGATGATGCATAATCTTTCAAAATATCAAGGGCATTCAGGATGTCAGATGTGCCTTTTTAGGAATTTTTTCTCTTTCTCGTGATATAATTTTGTCTGCAAATGTGTCTGTGTTGTCTTTGTGATTATAAAACATTTACTGATTGAATCCTAGCTATCATAACAGACCCATTGGATATAAAACAGTTAAGACTTGTTCATAATCCAAATCAAAAACATCCAGTTAATTTAAAATAAAGATAAACCAATTATCTCCCAGATTCTCACATCTCTCTTAATCCAAATCAAAAACATCCAGGTAATTTCTAATAATGATAAAACAATTATAATCTTGTCTGCAAATGTGTCTGTGTTGTCTCTGTGATTATAAAACATTTACTGATTGAATCCTAACTATCATAACAGACCCATGGGATATATAACAGTTAAGACTTGTCCATAATCCAAATCAAAAACATCCAGTTAATTTAAAATAAGGATAAACCAATTATCTCCTTGATTCACACCTTTCTCTTAATCCAAACATAAAACATTCAGTTCTTTTCTAATAGGATAAACCAATTAACTCTCGTATTCACACCTTTCCTGTTGTTTTCCACAATTAGGGATGTCATTGAGACTTAAATAAGTTAATTAGGACAATATTAGTTACATTGCATATGCATTACATTGCATATGTACAGATAATAAGAACTATAACATTGACTCAATATGTGGCTATTATTGAAATGTCCATGCAGACATTTGATTTCTGATAAAATGTTCAGATAAGACAGGTCAGTTTTTCAAATCTGGTTGTTCACTGTTCAGATTAGGAGGTGTTCAGATTTCAAGGTTTTTTTAACATGGGAGTCAATGGGAGGAAATAATGGGACCGAAAAAAAGTGTTCAAATTGGAAGGTGTTCGGATTAGCCAGGTGTTCAGATATACAGGTTTTACTGTATATGGCTTGGAGCCCCATCTTGTTGGAAAATATAATGACTAGAGAATGAGTTCATATCAGATTGGTCTAATACAACATAATTGGATAATCTGATGTAAACGTCTACAACTTCCACGTATTGGGAGAACTAACAGAATTGGTTTACCACAAACCCCTTACATCTACTCAGTCCCTTATTAAAGATAGAATTGTTGAGAAGTGAAATGCATTGTCTTAACAGCATATCAATAATGCTATTGGCCAGTTTAGGCCAAAATGGAGAGCTATAATTGACCAAAATGGTGGACATATTGAATGTTAGCTAAATAAAGTTGACAAAAAACTCACTTTTTGCAAGTTTTGGAAAACCCGTTTTGAAACAAAAATTACACCATTTATATTATGGACGCTGGTTGACAGACATTATAATAAATCTGAACCTATGATATACCAAATTAAAGATAAGTAAATTCCCTATCCACTGGTACATAATATGACATGTTTTCATCATGAAAATGAATATTTATTTTTGAAATACGAGTGTTCCATTTTTTTGGACCACCCTGTATTAGATTTAACATTTTCTAAAGGGCCATGTGCTTAAGTATTGGGTTGTATTTATGTGTGTAGTTATTTTCACACTGTAATTGGATGAAGAAGAAGAAAGGATTTAACACTGCACTTACCATGTAAACTGTAGGAAACTTTCTGGCAAACTCTTCAAAGCTGCTTTTGGGTGACTGGCCCTCTAGAATACCAGAAGCTGGAAGAAAAATAACACATTTTACAATTCTTTCACATTTACTTACTATGATTTTACTTATTAGTTAATATACAGGGTGGGACCAAAAACAAATGTAACTTTTTTATTATCATCATTATCATCATCATATTTATCATCACATCCTAAACTTACTGTAGATGAAGTCCTATTTCAAGAAGTGAAGTTAAATTGAGGACAATAATTTTGCATGAGCTTATAAGGTTATCATTCATATTGAATTGTTATATATTATTTATTATGTAAAGAAATAATAGACTTGGAATGGTTATATAAACCATGGGCGTTCTATTGAAAGCCCATGTACAAACACACCATACTTGATTAGATCAAATTAGTTCTAATATTGGAATACATGGTGTTAAGCAAAGCAAAGTAATTTAAGGACATAGGGTCCCTGTCTATTATTAAATGTATAATCTTCATATAATATTTAATATGATTAACATTTACCTCAAAGGCTTATATATAAAGTTGATTAACATTCACCATGTAAGCCTAAGAAAAGTAAATTATACACTGTGATGTCAACTGTAATTTCACCTTATAGATTAATATTCAATCAATACACTGCCCCCCCCCCCCCCGCCAAACAACTGTATCAATTAAAACATTTTTATCAAACTTTTTAACATTGCATTATTGCTATCATACATCTTTTGCTGCTGGGGATGCAGCTGATGGAAATATCAGCAACAGAGAACAGAGTTCCTGTAAAATTGCTTTGACTGTAAGTAATTTTATCAAAATGATCATCAAATAATCTAAGATAGAAATATACTAAAAGAGAGCAAAAAGATCTGGTATTCAAGAGGTTAAAATTCCAGGAAAACCACTCTCATGTTAAACTTGGTTTTGTGAATGCTGGATAAATTACTTGGTGGTCAGTTTAAATTTATTCTTTATAAAAAGTGTGATATTTATTATTTATAAAGTGTACATCTGTATCATGTTAATTTTGTGGTAAAATTAGGCACATGGGTCACTAATTAATGCAAAACAAAGAGTCTCTAATAAAACCCTCATTCCAACTACATGTACAAACAAATACCTAATACCTTGCACTTACCTTCAAAAAATATAAATGCAAATAATGGCGATCCTATTATTTGATCAGTCAGAATTTTCTTAATAATTGTTCCCCTTGATCTACCAAGTCCTAGCTTCTTGTCCATGATGAGATAGAAATAGTGAGATATTGGTCCTTGTATGGCACCAACAATAAACATTCTGCCTGAAAAAATAGGTCTTTAGTTTATCTTAAATGTTCATAAGAAGCCTTTATATAAATGTAGCAGAATAATACAGACGACACAGATGTGATAGCCAAACTACATAATAAACCCCCAAAAATACAAAAGCTAGGGTAACCCCATGTGCACCGAGGATCCCTATCAAGGTTTATATACAGTGAACCCCCTGGAGGTAAAATGTTGCAATGTGGTCCTTCAGAATTGCTTTTATTTTAAATTCAAAGTTGTCAAGAAAATTGTGAGGAAGACTGTCATGGCAAAAAATATTGAGTTTTGAAAAATAATGAAGGGCTCATTGAGATGTACATGTAGTCTGCAGTTTTTCCCTTAAAGGGGCAACAAGGACTGTAGAGAGAAAATTCGTAAATTTTTATTTTTTCTGGGCTATCAGGTCAATAGTTGGCTTAACACCTTCTTTGAAAAACCTTTTTTCTTGAAATGTATGTATAAACTTTCAATTTCAGCATTAAAAAGTGTAAATTCTGTTCAAAGCTTCTATAAAAGGAGTCCCACTTATAGATTTTTTAGATCCACTATGTTTCAAGAGGAATATCAGCTGAAATAATGTTCATCTTGGGGCCCTTTAAGGTACAGTCTGTTAAGGAGCAGGGATACTTAACAGGAAATGACAAAACAGGAAGTGACAAAAAATGTGGCATTTTTAGAAATTTTTTGAACAAAGATTACAGAGTTCTGTTTTGACCTCCAGTCAATTCAAATAATTCCACATATCATTTACAGGGCCATGGTCACAATTAGCTAGTCACAATGTCCATGGTCAGAATGACCCTAAACATGATGAAATAATTTTTAGCCTGATATGACCGTGATAATGATTGCAAGGCCTTTCATGACTGTGGTAATGTTAAAGCCTGAAATGACCGTGACAATGGTTGCAAGGCCTGTCATGACCGTAGTCATGTTAAAGCATGATATGACCGTGACAATGGTTATATTATATGACCTTTATTAGCATGAGAATACCGCAATGAAAAATTTCATCATTTAACTACCTTAAATGTGTAAATCTAGACTACTACTACTTTAACTCATAATCCATTTCCATAAACTATAATTCTAATCTCATTCAAGAATGTGAAAATTGTCATAGGCGTAGTGCCCAGTACGCTGGGTACGCACAGGTGTATCAGATGGTTGCATATTCGCTCCAAATACAACCAAATTTCAAACTTTTCAGACCCCAGATCCCCCTAAACACTTGTTTTTTGCTTCGCTCAACTCTTGGTCCTGTGGTGGCGTACTACTTAGAAATATAGCCCTAAGCCCATGATTGTCACTGTCATATCAGATTGAACATTACCACAGTCATGACAGGCCTTACAACCATTGCCATAGTCATATAAGGCTTTAACATTACTACGGCCATGACAGGCCTTGCAATATAATACAGCATTGTCAAGGTTATATCAGGCTTTCATGATAACACTACCACAGTCATGGCAGAATCCTTGTGAAACTTAAAAACACTTTTTAACATGGTGACGGCTGTGCCAGGCATAAGTTTTGCAATAGATAGCATGTGTGAATATGTTTTTCCATATATTATTGCACAATAGATCAAGTTTAGATTTCTTATTTTTTAGGTTCAACTTGTCAACAAACTGTAAGCATTTGATAAGTATAGTATGGGCCTGAATTACCTTCTTCTAAGGCCACTGTTTCGTGGCCTTCCTGGAGAGATAATTTCCTGCATGAACAATTGGTCATGTCGTAATCATAAAATTAGAAATCATATGTCCGCCATTTTTCCACATCACAATTTGAATTGCGAGTTTTGGTCTTATTACCTCACCAAAAATTCCAAAACACACATGAAGTGATCAGTGTATTAGTTCACATCTTCTGGATCACTAACTTAGAATTTACAGCCAGTTACTAATGTCAGACGTTAACGACATTTCGTCCAGTTTTCGAATATCGCCATTTTTCTTGGAGCCATTTTGTTTTAATTTTAGGCGAAATCCTGACGAAATCATGTCATATCTCATCAAGGAGTTGAGTCGGTTCCGATTTAATTTATGATTTATTTATACAATAAATTTATGACACTCCGACCAGCTTTTTTCAAATGGAGTTCATTTATCCCGTTCCCGGACTATAGTCCTGCACTGAGCGCATTCATTTGCCTGTACGATTACAACTTGGGAGAATTATCTACGCCCCTTACACTTAAGATACCTACCTCAATGCATTATAGAACTCAAGATGTAACTTCTAATATATTGGAACCGCCGATTGTCTGGGTATATCGGCAGAACGGGAACATTTCACTTTTTCATCGAGAGAGATTCCATCACTTTTCAAAATGGCGGTTGGATTTAAAAGGGGAATCCCCCCTTTGGCTGTCCCGGATGTAGCCCGGAAGTACCAATATGGAGGAATTTGACGGTTGAAATAAGTTAAATGTTACACGCAAATATTGCGATGAAAAACGAAAATGTCTTCGTTCTGCCGATAAACCCAGACAATTGTGGATTCAACTACACGAAAAGGATGCTAAATTACCAAGGAATCTATTGAAGTAGGTATCTGAAGTGTGAGATCAGTAAAAAATTCTCCCATGTTGTAATCGCACAGGCAAAAGATTGAGATGTTCACAGGACCATAGTCCGGGAACGGGATAAGAGTTCACAGTATTCCAGATGAAATCACCTCTAGCCAAGTATTGGCTAGAGACTCGAGTAAGGCCTGAAGACATGAAAAGAAACGCTACTAAAAGTTAAAAAATACCTGTCCTTTTCCAATCATGTGGTGGTCTTTTCTCCTTTGGTATTCTGAACTTTTCAAGCTTCTGGACACCATAATCTCCGATGGCTAAAAGTCCTGCACTTGTGAAAATATTTGTTGCCAACAAATGTTTTGTAAAAAGTTTTTCTACCAAATGTTTTGCTGTTCTCAAAGCCATTCCACTGTTCACTTTGAGGAAATATGTACCAAGAATTTGAAGAACACCTTAAATTGGCCTCAAATGAACTCATTTTAGAGTTATTGGGGAATCTTCATAGCATTTTGGAAATTTTCCAAACATGTGAAAAGACTCATTTACAATACCATTATCAGCTGATAGATTGTCGTAAAACTGTAAAAAAATTGCAGTTTAAATCAGTTTTGATATAAATTTGATGATGAATGACTATTATGAACTTCATGTTGTATAATATATTATTTATTATAAAAGTTTAAAAGTATCGTTATGTAGCATATAAGTCGTAATTGTGCGGAATAATATAAATAGTTCCCTCAGTAACATAAACATAAATATCCTAGGCCATAAAATTCACCAAATTGCTCTCGTTTAGCTCTCATTTATTGACTTTGAATCACAATACTTGAATGGGTTACTTAATGATATTCCAATATCCCTTCAAAAACGAACCAGACAAAAATATTGTTTGTTATATTTATATGCGAATTGACAAAACCCTCTCACAGAGGTCAAGAAAAAGGTTGCAAAACAGAGACGTTCTTGTTGACAGCATCGATTCATGCGTCGATTATCTGTATAAAAGATAGTGAACACACATATCTCCCATCAAATTTCACTTAGTGTATCTTCAGGTAGGTGCTGTATATTTAACATATCTTTTTCATAAAGTTATTTATGTGTATTTTGAGCCCAAAAATTATGTAATTTTTCAAGATTTTGCTGAATGCTCACGTTTTTTGACACACGGGTCGAAAAGTACATCAAGCTTACCAGCAAAGCAAGCAATTATGAAATACAACCATGTTGTTGAAAGTGCATCATTTCCATTTGTACAGTCGATACATACTTTGAAAAGTGGAAACTTATATCACCATCACATAGAATGATAATGTACTGTAGAGTATCCAACAGACTGACAAAAAGTCAGCACAGGCAATGAGAGTCCAGCGCCCCCACCTAACACTTTGGTACATATTGAGCCCGAAATAGAACCGCCTGTCTCAAATAGTAAACATATACACTTCAATCAAGAAATCGGCCAGTATTTCAAAATGTTCACCATGTCCACAGGGATTATATTGACGTCACTTCCGATCAACAGACTACTTAAACTTACAAGTACGTAATATATAGAGTACAACAGGGAGGCAATGTCGTCCATTTAGGTAATTGTTGAACATTCAGTGTATGCAGTCATTTGTCCGACAATAACATACATGAACGACATTCCCTCCCTGTCCTCTAAATGAAGATTGGTTCGAAATATTCAGCTTTAGCAGTTGGGACAGCAGGTTGCATATTTACAACAACATGTCAAATATAACAGCAATTCTTATTGAAATCATTCAAATTGTTATGTTTATAACACTCATAATATGTCAGTTTTGCTTGACTTGATTCCGTATTTATTAAGCCGACTGATTCAAGAAGATTGAAGTGTATATCTCTGCAATTTGGGACAGCCATTTCTTTTTTGGCTTTGAGAGAAGGTTTAGGCTTGTACATGTACCTGTGGGGTTCAGGCATTTTTTATATCACCGCCAGAGGTGGTGACGTAGTGTTATAGCCTGGTCTCCAACATTTGTGGATGGTCTTCAGCGCTCGACAATTCTTTAACAAATGGCAGGCCAGTAGCCAGCCTTTGCCAATGGGGGGGGGGGGGGGGCCAAGTTTTTAAAAGATTGAACCCCCACCCCCTAAGTACGAGCCTGCCTTCACAACCACTCCAAAGAGAGTAGATATGGCAATGGCATTTCTAATTTGATCACATGAACTGTTGGTGGCAGATGTTGGTAAAACATGGTATTACAAGATATATTTTATCAAGCTAGTTATCTGATTAATTTGATAAAACATTGTCACAAAGCATTGTCACATGTGAAATGTTAAAGTAAAAGTAGAAATTTATCTTAAGTATGTACTTCATTAACCTAAGTAAACATCTTATAATGACAACTATCAACCGTCAAGTCTTATTGTGAGTTGATAATTTACTAACCTATGGTTAAGACATATACATATACATAGTTCTTTGTACAAGGAAAGTTTATGTACAGTACATTAAAAAACATGGAATACATTTGCAACAGCAAATTAATAATCCTATTTATAATTTTTTTTTATTATTTTAAGTATTCAAATCTGTAAATTTCGTGTGAAGATTTTGATTTATTTCATTAATAGGTCCTTTATTTCATTACATTTTCAATGCCACGTTAGAAATTGAATTAAACCACTATTTATGTCTCATTACAATACAAACTATCAGTTCCCCCATTGAAGGAAAGTTTTGACATACAATTTCTTGAAAATTATGTTATGCTTTAAATAAGCATTTCTTTTGAGTAATTTTGAGCTCTACTCAAAATTAAGCACCCCTAACTGATGAAAGTTAGCTTTTGGTATACAGTAAAATAATAGGCATTATATATTAATGCCTATATGAGAGTCTGATTCCTTAATGGGTAAGGTAAACTATACCATTGCACTTTTGGATCATGATTCATTGCAACATCATTTTTATTTTGCTGTGTCATGCTAATATATTGAGCATGAACTTGACATATATATTACTTTAACAAGACATAGTATTTATGACATCAACATTTGATTATATTAAATTATTTATATAGGAAAAATTAATGAAGATATATAGAGTACCAGCTGGTATGTTACTTTAAGTACATGTGCACCTGCTTGTTTCAGATATCACAAACATGCTGATATGACGGGACGTTTTCACTAATCTTCATACAGTACCTACAGTTGAGGAATTTAGTACCCCACCATGAGCTTTTTGAGACAGCTAAAGCTTTTATTATGGAAGAACTTCACCCTCAGGAGGAGACAGCCAGTAAGTTATAAAAGGAGAATTTGGAATGTTTTATTCTATAAATGTAATATTAGTTTTCCCAGGAAATAATAAAGGAATTGAAATATTATATTGACTGAACATGTATTGGCTCTGAAAAGGTTGTAATAATTTAATTTGCCGGTAGTGAGTTCTTTTGACACATTTAACACCTAGGACTTTTAGTTAGTATGAGTATGGAAATATTCTCTGAGAAATGTTATATTGACCTTGAGTAAAATTCACACTCAGTTGCTACACTCACACGGCCAGACGTTTTCCCTCAAAATAAAGCTCATATTGTGTCCCTCCCCAGTACACAACCTATAAGTCTACTCTGTCGTGTTCAATAAAGTGAAAAGGTACCGAGAGCAGTATTTGAAAAACAAAATGCTAATGGGACTTCTATGGTCATTTTATTGTTGCCATAAACAAGCGACTATTGCGCAAGTTAATATGATTATTACAATGTATGTCAATCAGTATTTCCTTCATCAAACCTCAGATTATTCCTCTTCATAGCAGGATAATCACTGGTGTATATATATGTTGCTCTCAATGCCTTTGCTAATGTACTAGACATCATACACTTTTATTTTTATTTTATTTTATTCAATGAAAAAAATATAGATTTGTTTTGTAATTCGTTTTTTGTTAACTTCTCATATTCAAAAGAAATGTTTTATTAATGGGGATAAAGCTTTAATTTAAAATGAATAAACATCATCACATCCCTCTTTCAGAAACTCTGCACTGCACCCAATTTAGAAAAATTGGTTATTTGCATGCACTTGTAGCATATTGAAAATCCATTTTTCTTAAGAGGTTACTTTTCAAAATGTTTGTCATTTTTAGCTCACATATTTTATTTGTGAGAATGAATGTCAGCAGAATAGAATGTTTTTCATGAAATACATTCCCATTTCTCTCCATTCCAGGGCAGAATTGTCATAGAGATTGCTTGGCCCCTAACATTATTTATTATCCTGGCTTGGGTGAAGTCAAGAGGCCTTCAAGAAATGAGACATGAATGTAAGTTCAATCTAAACTTAGGGTCTGAGTATTGACAAATTACATGTAATATAACCTAAATTATTATATAAAGACATCACTGGATTTTAGTCTTATGAATAAGCTCAAGTTTCGGATCATGAAACATCTCATTTATTTATTCAAATGCAGAGTTAAACTAAGATATGACATATACAGTAAAGCTTTAAAATAATTCTTTACTAATAAATATACTGTACTATTTTATTTCCTGTTCAACATTTGAATTATTAGAAAATCTGTTAATTGCAAATAAGTCAAACTAACATTTAATATTATTGTAACTTGTGTACTCATTTCAAAAACAGAATGTATTTTAACCTTTGTACACATTTCCTAAAGTCACACTGATAAAGCTTTCAATCTAATCACTCAGAAAAAGCATACATATTATATTAATTATCACATGATTCTATCCTTATTTTCTCAGCAAAATCATTGAAGTACCAAATTATAAAGGACAACAAAATGACCATGAGAAAACTTTTTGGAAGTTTATGACAATTTTACAATCTTTTCTGTTTTTTCATTTTTATACAGGTCACTTTGATGGCAAAGCTATGCCTTCAGCGGGGCTGGCCCCTTTTTTGCAGGGAATTATATGCACAACCAACAATACGTGTCATAAGAAGGAAACAGATGGAGAATTTGCTGGACAAATTCAAGACTTCAATACTTCATTGTAAGAGCTTTCATATATTGTAGTTTGTCTTGTATTTATTTACATATTTAGTGTTGTTCATAGATTTTATGTAATTTTTTTCCAAGGGTGCATTTAATTCTGCGATAAATGAATTATTAATCTAATGTCAATATATTATACTACATACATGTAATACAATATGTTATGTCTGGTTATATGCCTGATATTTCCCCACTTCAAATAAATTTGTATTAATGTAATTGCCATACTCTGCTCCAAAAACATATTTCTTTACTATGTACACATACATTGTCAAACCCAATTTCCTGCTAATATGCTCTCCCCATATTGATATCTCCGAGGCCCAGCACCTCCATGTATTTTATGAAACCAAAATGCTCCCCAATTCAATTAGATGGGCCTCCTAAAATGTCACTATATAAAATAAAGAAATTCTAAAATGTTGCACAAAAAATTCAAAAATGTAAAATGTTGCACAAAAATTTACAAAATGCTAAAATGTTGCATTAAAAAATAACAAAAAATCCTAGAGAGAGCACTCTACTCTGAATGTGCCAATACTAAGTCAATGTCATATTACCAATGGATTATTCATGAAATATCTTGACATTGAAACCCATTAATCTGTAAATCTGTATCTGTATATATATATATAAAGAGTACAAGATTTGTATGACCAATCCACATCATTCAGAAAGTAATATGATGTAATATATAATGTTTTTTTCAGATTTTTCAAATTGTTTCGTGATTCTGAAGTGCTCTTCAATAATCAGTCAATGGAGGATGAACTGTTACGGTTGATAGATGATATTAAAGTTCTACAAATATTAGGGGAAGTAACCATTAATGGGACCCTACAAGGTAAGAACCAGCAGTTTTTTTGTTTAGAATTCAAAATATTTTATCTCATGTACAATATGTGCTCATTTTGTATAATATGATAACATTTTGTATATACATTTACATCTAATGGTTAAGATACATGATTAGTTAAATTTTAAATGTCTATTCTTCCTTCCACTATAGACAAACTATTTTCATAAATATCACAGAGTATTATTATCCTGCAATAAGTTCCCTCTTGTAAAAAATGAAATCTATGAAGATGTACTGTAAATTATTTAATTATTTCTAGGTGGGTTTACTGTCGGCAGTATTCTTGTGGACCCCAATGTGTTGAGAGATCAAGTGATAAGCCAAAACATAAGCCTTACTCCAACTATTGTAAATGATATACTCAATGCTTCACTGAATCCTATTGGGGTAAGATTCAAAAAGTTTTAATATCTAGGCATTTCTTGAGTATATTTAGGAATCTAAGTGTACATCATTTTGGAGAAATCACTTTTTTGCTATCAAAATATCACAGTTTTGATTATTTGTCGAATTTTAAAACAAGGCCAAGACACCAACATTTCTCAAGGATTAATGTTTACCCATAATTCATTTTCAGCTGTTGAACATTGCCACCAATATGTCCAACCCTCTAGGGTCTTTAAACAGGGAGCTAGTTTGTAACACATCGTGGCTGGAGAATATCCTGGTATTCTCCGACCCCACTACTCTGAACAATGTGTCACAGGCTCTATGCAACCTCACAATGGATGAGATGAACCAACTGCAGGCTGATTTTGTGCAGGATTTTGATATCGTCAAAACTCTTACAGAGGTAGGATTTTTTGAATATTAAATGATAGCCACTTCTAAATCATCAATAAATTTTTTAAATGAACACATGTTGTTAATGAAAGATTTTCAATATACATGTATGCTATTTGGGATACTCAAGAACAGTTTTCTTAAATATACAATATTTAGTCTTTAAATGTCTAATACATTAGTACAAATTAGTTCATGAGGATTAACCTATATTCAAAAAATAAGTTAAAGTAAATTTAAAGAAAAGTCAGAATTTTTGTATGATTTGGCAGGATATCTAGGAAATACCATTTAACTTCTTGAACCCAGGCTCTAAAATCGATTGAAACCAGAGAATTTTTCATTTTGGCAGCTTTTGACATTTTAATACAAATATATACAACATGTGATGCTCATTTTAGTGTAATTTTTGTGTAGAGTGTATGAGCATTGTTCAAATAAGAGCAATTTTAGTGAAAAATTTTGTGAGCGATTATTTCGTCACTCTGGGTTTCAAGGTCATTTCTGAGGTGACAAGAAATCTTGTCATTCTGGGTAATCAAGAGGCTAATACCAAACTCATTTAACAATGTTGAAAAATTTACATGACATGACTGTCATTACAGCAGGAGATCATAGACGTCATTTCCATTGTTCTCTGCATATTTCGCGTAGTAATCTACGTTGATTAGCCCTCGCGATTTTCGCATGAATGAACGTCATGGTTGATGTACCCATTTTTACATGACTGTATCTCCCTCGTATTATATCGGTTTTTCATAAAATAAATGGTTAGAAAGCTTATATCAAGTACTTTCAGATGGTTTTCTCATTTTTAATCATATTAAAGGTCAAGACTCCAAAGATAAAATCGCAACTGGTTATGTTTATTGTAGGTGAGGAACCTGACATGTAACAATGCTGGGGAGTGTGTTAACTTTGATGAGGAAACATTTGAACTGTTCAGGAGATTCTCTCAGGATGTAAGTAACTAAGCCTGATAATCATAATACGAGGGCATGGGCATAAATGTACATGGGCTTTAATAAATAGACACATCTGGACTCTGAAATTATAGTACCACATATGGTCAGTATGTTCTTTATGGTGCCATTTTTATTTAGGTACTCCATGGTACTATTTGAATATGGTACCAACTCTACCTAAAGTGAACTCCCTATCAGCCACTTAACTATGCCATACATTGCCACTGTACAATAACCTAATAGTTTCTCCATATACTGATTACTTATACTCCATAAGTGACTTCAACTAGCTGGTTGATTATTTTCATTAACTGCCCTTCTTACATTCTTATATATTACCTTTCAGCAATTGAAGAATTATAAAACCTTGTATGTATGATAATTGATTGTAATTGAATAAATAAATAGCTCTGTCTAATCAGATTCTATCAAATTCTTATTTCTCTAGGTATCCAACCAGGATAGTTTCAATGCGCTGTTTGTTGAGGGGGCTCGCCTGTTGGCAGACATTCAGATGTTACAGAACAGTAGTAATGCTGATGAGGAATTAAGCATGCTGGTCTGTGGGCGCAGGGAGGGTGCTCTGTTCCCAGCCTCCAGCCTGTTTGGGGCTTTAACGAATGGGGTGAGTCATTATGTTTCTTCACATGGGTTAAATTGTAAAATTCACTGAAAAATTTGGACAAATCTGTCGTGAGGTTTTTGGGGAACCAAGCCTTATCAACTTGTCATATCTCAAAAGCCCAAGTAGAGTACTACACAAAGCAGTAACTTGGTTGAGTGGAGTTATACATACTTAGTTTTGCACTTGTTTTTGGAAATGCAACAAGGTGAAAGTGAAACACTCAGCCCTTGATCCCAAAACTTGCAAAGGTCATTAAAACACCTGGTACATGTAATAAGCCCGGGCATGGAATGAAATTTTCTCAATGTTGCTTAAGTTTACTTATTTATTCAATGTCAAATCAATGTTATATTTTCAAAAACATAGTACAACACTATGGCAATTAAAATGGATAAAATTATTGAGTCATTATTGCTATTTAGATACAAAGCTCTTGTGGCCTGGAAGCCTTTATTACCAAGCCAAATCATTTTTGTCAGTTATGCACAAAACTGTGATTTGCCACCGGACTAGTCAGTCCATTTGGTGCCAAAATTTGGCACCGAAACGGCGTCGAAAATCGGATTGCATTTTGGGGGTGTACTATTTACATGTGTTTTTGTTAGAACGTATGAAGGCATTTCACAATTCAAATATTTGGAAAAAGAGAAAATTGGTTCTAAAATGTATCTGGAATATGTTTTTATTACCCATGTCAAAGATACAAATACACATTTCAAAGTTGTTATTGCAAACTAAAATCCATTAGATCTTCCTCCCTTCCTATAGTCAGAGATAGCATGTATAGGATTATGTCCAGTGTTTGTGTTATGAATGGCTTGACTGATGGATCCTGCACTCTTTAACATATATACGTCATGTCCTTTGCTTAGCAACCCATTTATGTATTTCTGGAAACACAGGCGTTTATGCATTATTAATGAGTAGTTTCTACACACCAATCAAATGGTAAGGTGCTGGTAGGGTTGGAGAGAGTGGACATCTATTTGCCTGTATCAGTTTCCACAAAAACATGGTCTCTCAATACAAGGCTTCAAAAATTAATTTAAAAAGAAGTGTGGTGTTTTAGTACAACACATGAACTTTCTTGAATTAAACATAATATGTATAATGGGTGACATATTTGCAAGCAACATTTTAACTTTAAGGTTTTCAACTAATGTACTTTAAAAGATTTAAAAGATAATTGTATTGTTACAGTATTAATAATTTAAGATGCAGGTCGGTATCAATTCAAAGATAGGATGCTTGTATTAGTATCTGTTGACTTTCTATTATAGAAAGGCCAATTTCTGTCCTTGAAAATCTATTTTGAATGAAAATCTAGGTACCTTCGGAAAACCGTGCTCTATCTCTATGTATGGTGGTGTTAATTGGTGATGGATTCTGGGATAGTCTACAGCCTCCTTTACAGTCTTACCAAGCCATAGATTCTGTATAATGTTCTGAAATAGCAAGAATGTGTGCAATTGAGTGTTGTTATTACAGAAAAATACAGTTATTTATAATTGAGTGCAGTACTGTACATGCAATGATATTTCTCTAAAATATGTACTTTCATGATTATTCTCAAGACATAATATATTATACAAATTGACAATCTGATGAAATTACCAAAATGGCGTAATTCAAGCATCTATTTACTTGAATGATTAATTGCTTACATATGAAATCGCTGAATTAATCTTAGAACCACCTGATGCTCCTATGATCAATACCACCCTTCCCTCTCTGTCTGTAATGATAGTTGGAGCCATTGAGGACATTGGTCGTTTTCCTGGTTTGATGTAATTAGCAGGGGATGCTGGGATACCAAAGTGGTTTAACGTGTAAGGTGTGGCAAAGTCATCCATGTTGTTGTTGTACAAGATCCCCGTCTTTGTTCCCAGCACTTTTGAGCCATAACTAGAAGTACCAGTCAGATGTAATAAATAATTGTTCAGATTCCTGTTGAACATCTCAATCGTATTTAATGGTGTTTAAGGAGAAAATAACATTGTAAATCACATGGAAGAGGTCACTGAGAGGATCTCACCTGTTGGTTTGATGAGGATTGATTTTGATTTTAAATTTAGGGACCCTTATCCAAGTACACTATAGATCTGAATTCATAGAGCCTGAAACACCAAGGCTGACTTACAATGTATTTATGGTACTCGTAAGGGAAACTGCAATCCCATCAGGCCCCAGTATTGAAAGGTGTGATGTCCCATGATTCTCAACATTATCATACTCCGCACCATAGTAGTTATAATCATGTGTTTCTTCATCTGTGATAATGTCACGTATATGGGCTGCATAGTCTTTGGACATCATTAGTTTTACAATCTGAAATCACCAAAGTGCGGATCAGGTAGGGTAATGGTCACCAGTGTCTGAGGTATTGACCTTTCTCTAGTATTGTACCATATTCAGTTTCATTAGCAGCAGGCAACAGGCGATTTTCACCAGTTGTTTTTAGGGACTTTTTAACTTTTCCATGTTAAATATATGATTTCCATTAATTTTTGCCTGTTGTTTTCATTTATTTAGCCTGTTGTGAGAAATTCTTGTGAAACCCCTTATATTGAACTATAGATATAGTTTAATTATTAATATTTATTCTAAACAAGAAGTATTAAATCACAAAATTGATAACCTCATCTGTGTTAGTGAAACGCTCATCTCCCAAAAGAGATCGTTTGGCAAAAGCAAATTTGAATGCCTCTATTATTCTATGGTAAGTAAGTACTGACTTCTGGGTTGTTGCCAAACTGTCAGCACTGAAGTTATAACCTAAAACAACATTTTTATTTTTATTTACATTAAACAATTACATATTTTTAATGTTGTCTAGAGCTTGAAATAGATAATCCATCCACTATATGTTCCTGCCAGACATCATCTTCCTTTAAGGAAGAAACATAGTGGATGATACAGGGACCCCTATGTTTGTAGAATGTAAACTACTTGAAACCATATTCAGTCCCTCCGAATAAATGAATTACATCTGTTGACAAAGTAATTAGTTTAAAGCCCCTATGTTTGAAAGTGCTAAAGTGCAGTTAACTGCATGTAGTTAAGTTCTGCACAAATTGTCATTGTAATGCGAGTCAGTTTATGCAAGTAACTTACCATCTAAAATGTTCAGCACATACAATAGGGTTGCCCCACCAGAGGGAGGTGGAGGACACAATACGGTGTAGTTACCATTAGCTAGAGTGAGGTTCAGTGCTCTTTTAACCAGCACATTATAACTCCTTAGATCTTTTAAGATGATTCTTCCCCCTATTGAATAAAGAACATGATCATGTTTTTAATAATTTGAAAGTAGCAGTTTAATCTCCCTCTTACAAGTAAGTAGTACAGTATATGTATGTGATATGTCATAATTTGGCAAATGTTGACAAAACAATATCTTCGATATGTTTGATAGATGTATGTGATCGTGATTTGGCGGTCTTATTGTTGCATCAGAATCAACCAATCATAATTAGATGAGCGTTGATATGACTATTGTAGTCGCAATTTTCTCCCCAAACTTCAGTTAGATACATGTAAATGTACATTATGTGACCGCCTTATTGTAATCTTATTATAGTCACACTACCCTCACCAAACCAAACCATAATTAGATGTGTGTCAATGTGACAACCTTATTATTACATAACCACACCATCATCATTCTACCTGCTTCTTGTATCTCATTGACAACACTCCTTGCCAGGTCCCCATGGTAGAACTCCTGGGCTCCTTTCTCAGCGATCAGCTCCAATGTGTCTGCAAGATCAGGCATTCTCATATAATCACCCTCCTGGTAGGGTTCATCTGTGTCAGGGTTGATAAATATCCTGAAATAATATTGACTGGAATTATTCTACTTTAATGAAATTGGATAGGGGCTTTAATATAATAATTTACAGGAAATCTATCAGACAGTATGATTTCCTGATATGTTTAGTTAACATACCTGAGGCCACATGGTAGCATTCATATACATGTGCACTGGTACTACACTAGATTACGCAGACGATTGTACATTTTAAGGTAAAAAGAAAAATCATACCTTCGAGGTTCAGACATTTTGTTACTGAAACAATCTGTTCCGGTAACCAGCGTAATCGAGTTGAGTACCAGCGTTCAATAAGGTAAGATATTATGTCTTGTTACTCATACTAATTACACACTAACTTCATCCCAGGGTTCAAAGACTCTCTTGTTTGACGTTCTAATCCAGCTCCCATTGCTTGACCAATCTTAAAGCCCTCTCTGCATATTTCTATAGTAGGCTGGAATAGTGCCTTCCATGGTAAGGTACCATATAGCTCATGCATCTTTTTGTAACAAATTGCTACTTGGGAAGGGACTCCAATAGCTAACCCACCTGGAAAAAGGGAGCATTTTGAGGATTTTCAGCTCTTGGTTAAGATTAAATCCCTGATCAGTTATAACATTTTTAAGACCATGCTAAAATATATGTCTATCAGCTGTGTGCCGAAGGGTTGTATTTTATGATTACCACTGCACAAAACGAAGTGATAGCAAGGGAGAAATGAATGATTACGTTGATTCAAGGATGTCTCTGGATTACCGAAAATTGGTCATGAGTTGTGATAAATAAACACCAATTTCTATTTAGTTTGACTTCATCATTATAATTGTGAGAAACATACCTGTTAATGAAGCATCCATGTTTTGAACAAACATGTGCGTATTTGAAATAGATGGAGCCTCTTCTCGACAGTCCAATGTCAAAACATCACGCTTTTTACTGAAATATTGCATCAAAGGAAAATCTGTTTACTTTTTTCATTTGCTTTTGCAATGATACATTTAAGCCTCAGTCACATGTGCTCTACGGCCATCGTACGGTTGTCATAGATTAAATGAGGCTGAGGCATAAACCTTAACAATAAAAGGAACACCCACAATAATGGATGATCTTTGCTTGCTGCATATGACATTGATTTGATGATTGCATTTGGTTTATATATTTTTGAACAACCCTAAATGAATTTATTGCTCACATTCATGCAGGATAAACTTAAACAAAGACTGCCCAAAACGTGGATAAAAAAGGACATGTCATGTGGCCATAACATACCCCCCACAGGAAGAAATTATAACAGTTGCAAACTAATGATGAGAAGTCAGAATAGCGATGTAAATGAAATATGTAGGTCAATATGACTGAAAACACAGTCGTTATATTAGGCACTTACGTATCATAGATTGTTGCAAGAGAGCCACCTCCAATACCAGCACTCTGTGAATGTAGCACCCCAATGCACAACATAGCAGCTATAGCTGCATCTACTGCCGAGCCCCCATTGTACATCATATCTCTAGGATATTGAAAATTATTGATGATGTATTCACTGTTTCAGAATTTCTCCAGTTAAATCAGTATTAAATTCACACATTTTGTAGTGATTGTAGGAAAAGGGTGTAATTTGTAATGATTTAGGTATATTGATGTGTTAATATTGAAGATGATCTGAAATACTCACTTCCCTATCTTGGAGCATTTTGCATGATCTGTGGCTATTGCTGCGTTTTCATACCTCCCCATTGGAGAGTTAGAGGAAGGAGGTTCATGTATCCCATCTCCTAGACCTCTCACATACACCTCATGTAGACTTCTACCACTTGTCTGTCCCTTAAAAAATTTACATTTCATTTATAACAGTATCCCAGTTGTCAATATTGCCATTATTCTTTCACATGTAAGTTTAAAACTACAAAATACTTAAAGTTCATATGTCATTTAGAATAACTATATAAACCAGGATTTTAGCATGTACTCATAAAGTTCATAATATACATTTAATTTGTCCTAATGTTCATAGTTCAACTATGAGAATATATATGAATACATGTAGAACCAGTCGCACCTTTCCCTCATCTTAAGCAAACTGAACAATGCTTATCTAAAAGAGCTACTTACCAAAATCAGAGTGCCTTGTTTTGGAATTTTTGCTTGATAAAAGTAAAGGCTTGCTAAAATCAAAATACACACCGTAAGAAACAAGTAAAGAAATTGTTTTCCTGACATTGTGAACTTGATAATCGATCAGTAATGTTCTATAATTTAATTTACTGTACTTATGATAAATGTGAAGGTGCAGGTGCTTTATGTGGGTATCGTTACGGGTATTTAGTTAATTAAACTCCAGATGAAGTCTTGAATCTGCTGTTTTAGCCATTTTATTTATTATTCTTAATTATAATTATAATATTGTGCAGATTTTCTCGACAACTGTAAGGTCTTGATTTAAATTAAGACAATTATATGGTCTGATTTAAGGTACAATATCTACAGTTGGTTGGAAATTTGGTCAAATTTAATGTAGGTCAAACTAGATCAAATCTTATGTTTTCAGCATTTTGTCATTTTTGATATTTTTTGATTTTTTTTTGTCATTTTGAAGCTTGGAAATAGACAATTGGAGAGTGTGCCATTTTCGATTACTCTTACTGATTTTGAGATATCTGAATCTGAAATCAAAATTGAAATCTGACTTCCGGTTCGCGAACTATGACCTTTTGAAATATCGAAAAATTGATATTATTATATCCCCATGTTAAGTCAACAGCACTGATGAAAATTAACGAAATGGGAAATACCAGATACAGATTGGATTCAAATGAATAAGGCAAATGCACTCAATAAGAATAGTATTCATCAAACCTTATGGTTCTGCAAATAAATTAATATGTAAAGTAAAGCCTGTCTTAGTGAACACCTTTCTCTAGTAGACACCTATCCTCCACACATACCCTAAATTACCTCTGTATAAATTACCCTCTCTGTAATGAACACCTACCTACCTACTGTGAACATATTTTATGAGCTCCATAGGTGTTCACTATACACAGGTTTTACTGCATATTTCAATACGAAACAGATTGGAGAAAATAAACTACAAAGTTAACAGACAGTTATGCAATGGATTCTTTCTGTGTTTAGACTTCTGGAGCTATGCCGGATTTCAGCTCTTACCAACAGGGAGCATTTGAGAGACGTAGGAAGAAACGTGATACTGATGACAGTGACACCTATCAGAGAGACAACACAACCAGTAAGACTTAACTTTATTTCATAATTTGAAAGTTAAACATTCTTCAGTTAATTATTGATATAAAATATTAATTCAAATCAGTAATTTTTCCATTATTCTGCCATTTGCGCATTTAGTATTCTACATGAATATATGATGTTTTTGATGAGATTAAAAATAGAGGCTAATAATGAAAACATATAATGAGCATTTATATTACAGCTGACTATTGCAATGACCTCGAGGCCAGTCTGAAAGATAATGCTGCCACCAGGGTGCTCTGGAACCAGGTTAAACCTCTCATCAGGGGTAAGGTGCCCTTCACACCAAACACTCCTGCCGTTCAGAAAATTGTCAAAATGGTAGGTTGTGTTGTTAAATAAAAGGATAAGAGTAACTCTTATTATCCCACCGAACAAAGTTTATAGGGATATATAGAAGCTGTCTTTCCATTTGTTTATCCTTTTGTTCGTTCATGTGTCTGGGCGATAACTCAGATACTGGTCGATGGATTTGATTTAAACTTTTTTTAGCCTTATGCCTTATGGGTGTAGGACTGTTGAAAATGACAAGGTATTTAATAAATATATTTTGTTCTGTGGGATTTGCTACTCTAGGAGTTGCTGTTTTCAAGTTAAACCACATTTGAAAGAATATTAATTACACATATTTAATGAATACTCAAATTAATCACGTTGCCATGGTGTGTCATCAGCTCCACATACTATTGACTGACAATGCATTTCACAGTTAACTTTTATTGACCATTGATTGACCAATCAGAGTTTAGAAGTTCATTTGAAGTAATTGAAATATGTGTTATTCACATTTTAGGCGAATGGTACATTCGAAGATATTGGTAGAATTCGCACTCTAGCAGAGGCCTGGTTGGAAAATGAACCAGCTATCTATAACTTCCTTGACACCAACCCTGCTGTCAGAGGTGCCTATGTAAGTTACCTTTCAAACAATCTTTAATAGATCAACTAAAAATGTGTAAACCTGTAGAATTTAATCTAAAATCTAAATTTAATAAAAGTTCTTAAGTTGTATGGTTGTATGATCGATAATTCATGATATTAGGATCATTTAAGTTCTAATGTCTCCTCTCAGGTCAAAGGTAATCCATTCCTCTCTTACTTCAGATAATTATGAACACCAGGTGCCAAGCAGGGGAAACATGGGCTTGTGTATGGGCCAGGTTTCTCTACAATGGACCTAAGGCCCCTGGCAGCTATGACTGGAGGGACAGTATTAAGTCTGTCACTGATATACTCAATATGACCAAATCTCTTGTTGAGGTAAGGCAGTTCAAATGACAGTTGTGTGATAATACAAGTTATGTTGACATTCAAATGTATCTCAGTGGAGTAGATTTGAGTAAAAAGATGCACAAATTGCCATTGTATAAAAATGACCAGATTGTGTAAAAATATGAGTTATGTTGAGATTCGAATATATCTCTGTCGAGTAGGTATGAGTATACAGATGCACAAAATCGCAATGTATGTTTGTTTTTTATTTCAGTGTTTTGAGGTTGAGAAATTTGTTGGCTACGACAATGAAACTGAACTGGTAAAAGCTAGCTGGAAACTTATATCAGAAAATAAATTCTGGGCAGGTATGTTTATTGTCTAATACTCAGCTATAAAGCTCTCTTATTGGCCAGCTATAAAGCTCTCTTATTTGCCAGCTATAAAGCTCTCTCATTGGTCAGCTATAAAGCTCTCTCATTGGTCAGCTATATAAAACTCTCTCATTGGTCAGAATTAACGTGGTGATATGAAACTGAATTTCATGACTCTATACATTCCAATGTTTTAAACAACCCATTATCAATGGAAATTAAAATATAAGAAACTAAATATATTTTGAATTGAAAAATCACATTTTATTAACAAAAAACATATTTGTTATACAAAAACAAATTGATAACAAGTCAGAGTCATTTTACTAAATTGCCCCACGTGTTGTTTAAGCTATTGAGTTTGATGCTGACCAGTTTGGTGATGATGGTGAAACTATTCCCCAACACCTTAACTACAAGATTAGGATGGAGACCAAGCGAGTAGACAGCACAAAGTCACTCATGGACAGGTATGTGAATGACGTTATGAGGAACCACGCTCTTTCATTTAAAGTTAAACAGTAAATAAAATTTAATGTTTATTCTAGTATACTAGAATATACTATATATTTTGTTACAGTTTATGGAATAATACTTTACAAACCTTTTTGGTTTTTAATTTATCGTAGCAGCAACTTATGCATTTGGTTGACAGTATAATGTATGTTGAAATAAACTCCAAAATCTGTTTGAAACCAACTTTTTGTTTTCAAATTCAATAAAATGACCTGAATATAATTTTACTTGAAATATGGAAAATTTGGAGGCTTCCTTCTTATCGTAAAATTCTGTCACTCGAATGGTAGTTGGGATTTAATGATATTTTTCTCTAGATTTTGGAGACCTGGGCCTAGGAGGCGCCCAACATGGGACATGAAGTATGCAACATCTGGGTTTGTCTACCTACAAGATGTCATAGATCATGGGTTCAATAGACTGATGGACAATCACACAGAACGTGTGGGGGTCTATGTACAACAGTTCCCATATCCTTGTTATATATATGATACGTGAGTCAAGTGATGATATACTTGAGTTGCATGCTTTGCTTTAATGTCTTCCCCATACACTCAGCTTGGACCTTTTGCCTTATACATGTAGATACTGACAGGCATGAAAAAGCATGAAAAGGAAATTTATATTATATACTAGCCTCGTATATGGAATGTTGTTATGATGTTAATAGTATAATTTAAATATGATTATTTATAGGTATATTATTTCTGCTAAAAGCCTTGAGGACCAGATGATCCAGATTAAAATAAGACTGTGTTTATGCATCTTTTTTTTTATTAATTTCATATTTTACTCGGCATTGTCCTAGCATCATGATTGTTGATTTAAATGCATATTTAGTCGGAATAACCGCATGAATCAGCAACTAAGATTTAATTTTGCTTATATCCTGAAAACCTCGCTTTATTTCAATCCCCAGCTTTTGGAAACCTGGCTCTAGGAGAAGCCCCCTCACAGATATGAAATATGTCGCCTATGGCTTTGTATACCTGCAAGACATGCTTGATCATGGCTATGCACAGGAGCTGAATAAAATGGAAGAAAAGGTTGGGGTGTATCTACAACAATTCCCATACCCTTGTTATATTTATGATACGTAAGTGGCTTCACCTGGACAGTCAATTTTGTTTTATTACAAATATGTGTTTTATGTATTTAAAATGTTAATGAAGCAGTACAGTTATGCATGCTATTAGTATTCTGATGCATGTTGCATTTAATTTTGAATGTATTTTTGAAAAATAACATTTAACTGACATTAGATTTTAACAATTATGTATACAAAATTAATCGAATTCTATACTTAATAAATGGTATTTATATCTGATGTTAACTCTCTATACTAACAAATATTTCAAAAATAGGAATGCAAAACTGTATTTGTCTTGTAGTTTTACCCGGGCAATATCAAGAAGTCTGCCACTATTCATGGTGCTGGCTTGGATCTACTCAGTGTCGATGATAGTGAAGGGGATAGTGTACGAGAAAGAGAAGAGGTTGAAGGAGGTGATGAAGATGATGGGATTAACCAATGGGATCCACTGGCTGGCATGGTTTATCACCTGCTTCATTATGATGTTCATCACTGTCATATTGCTTGTAGTCGTCCTATCAGTAAGTACTGTTTGACGCTATTTACCATATCTAGAGATGGGGCAGTGATTATCCCAGTTGAGTTTATCACTGTCATCATGCTTATAGTTTTCCTTTGTTAATGAATGAGTAACTGTTTGCGACTATTTATTATGTGGCAGTGATTTTCCCAGCATTAGGGCAACTGGGAACTGCGCCTTGTTGAAATTCACATGTCACTCTGTTGAAAAATTTTTGTTTCCTGTCCGAGGATGAAATATTGTTGAAATATTTTTAAACAGAATCGATAAAAATTGTACTCTGAACCTGTTGAGAAAAAATTGAGGTGATTTCTGATATGAGAGATGAAGCACAGTGTATCTCAATACCTCAATGTTACCCAGTCAATAATCAAATTTTGGAGGAAATCCTAATGAATATTTGACTAAAAGGTTTCATGTCAACAATATTTCCCTATTAAATATTTATTTGTCAACCTTTATTCCAGGTGGGTAAAGTTCTGGCCCATTCTGACCCAAGTGTGCTCCTCGTGTTCATGATCTGCTTCACCACAGCCACCATCATGCAGTGTTTCCTCATCAGCGTTCTCTTCAGCAGGGCCAACTTGGCTGCTGCCTGTGGGGCTATCATATACTTTGTCCTTTACTTGCCCTACACTATCATGTTGAGGTGGGAGGAGGACCTCACTGTCACTGCAAAGAACTTAGCTGTAAGTTGATTCCCTAATTAACCTACACTATTTAACCATGAATATCTTAGAATAATATATATACTATGTGAATGTCTTGTTTATTAAACAACACTATTTATGAGAATTAATCTTCTACATAAGCATTTGTCTATATATGAATGTTCATACCAGAATGCTCTAACCCAGTTGTGTTTTGGTGATGTAGGGTTTGTCATCAACTGTGGCATTCAGCTGGGGAACCAACTATTTGTCTCGCTATGAGGAGCAGGGAGTAGGGGCCCAATGGAGCAACATTTGGAAGAGCCCTATCCCCAGTGACAACTACAACCTGGTTATGTGTATGTTAATGCTGTTGATAGATTCTGTGGTCTATATGGTACTTGCCTGGTACATAGAGGCAGTATTCCCAGGTATGTGTGGAATATATGTTTATGTTATATATGTGTGGTATGACTGTAGGCCACTTAGCAAAGGACTAGACTCTCTTATAGTTTATGGACATTAAATGATGGATTATGAACCCTGATTTAATTTTTACGAGATATAGATATATGACCATGCCCCATATTTAGGTATACAAGCATTTATATCATATATGGCTAAATGAGACCTAAATCAGATATAAGCAGACCCTTGATCCAAATGGTGAACTTGAATTTCATAGATAGAATGATAAACTTGTATGTTTCAGGTGAATTTGGTGTTCCAAAGCCTTTCTACTTTCCATTCACAAAGTCCTACTGGTGTGGCCATAGCTACAGGGCAGAGGATAGGGAAGCAAACAATACGTACAATGTCGACCATACGTTTGAGATGAATGATAATCAAAGAGGTATTATGCATAGGATCTCACAAATTGAAACATATGTGAAGATCTTTTGTGTTCATTTTCATAAGTATTGAATCATTTCTTCAAAATAAAAATCATATTTAACTCCTCCAATGAAATAACCCTTTGACATGCATTTCATTTTTAGGGTCTGAAGAATTTGAAGCTGAGCCAAGAGATAAAAAACTGGGTGTTGCCATTAAGGGTTTGAAAAAGGTGTATAGTAGAGGCAAGAAGCTTGCAGTGAATCAACTCTCTATAAACTTCTATGAGGATCATATCACATCATTTCTGGGCCATAATGGAGCTGGGAAGACAACAACCATGTAAGAATACGTATGAATAATATAGAGGAGCAGTCATATAGCTAGCAACTTAGAGAATATTGAAACTTGAAACTGAATATTATGGATCTTGTTGATATTGCTTGTAATGTAAACCAAGGGTCACATGACTTATCGAAAGACCTCCATCCACCTCAACCCTCATTAATTTAACACATTTAAAGATATTTTAGTTGGATGAACACTTCTAAACATTGAAAATAAACAGCAATTAATGCTATGAACTATCACTTATGAATTATTGATTATCCATACTGTTAAACTGCTTTTACTTGTAATGAAAACCGTCATGTTGAAAATTTTGCATTTGTTTCCAGGTCTATTCTGACTGGTCTGTTTCCACCAACAGAGGGCACTGCTTACATCTACGACAAGGATATTCGCTTAGACATGGATGAGATTCGACAAAGTCTTGGAATGTGCCCCCAATATAATGTCCTGTTTGACTGGTAATGTTTCATTATTAACCATTTCAGACTGAATTTTTAAAAACAACTAATTTTGATGTTCTCAATTTGTGGGTGTTTGATAATTTGACAAATTCTCTTATATCTCTGGATTGATGGTCTTTTTGGCTTATTATGTATTGTCTGTTCAGAATGTTTTGCAGGTTTTCTATACATGAAAATCTAATAGGGTATTGCATTGTAGGTAAATACCTTATTTCTAATCAGGCAACGTGATATAGTGGATTGTTAAGCTGATTGATTAATCTGTGATTTTTAGCCTGACTGTTGAGGAACATTTGTGGTTCTATGCCAGCCTGAAAGGTATGGATACAAAGACAATACAGCCTGAGCTGGAGAAGATGGTTGTAGATATAGGACTACCACATAAAGTCAAAGAAGAATCCAAGAATCTTTCAGGTTTGTATCTTAAGTGTATTGTCCCATTGATTTGAGATATATAAAGATGATGTTTCAAGCAGATTCCAATTTGAGAGTCTATTTATTTTATTTTTTATTCAGACATCTTGTTCTATTTCATCTTTAGAATTTCAACTTCTGAATATATTGTTTCTTCATAAAAATATGTTTCACTTGAGCCAATATTGCAAATAGAAAATAAGAATGTCAAATTGATATTTCCAAACTTGTATAATTTTACTGTTTCCTGTCTTGAAATGTTCCCGATTTACAGATGAAAGTTAATATGTTGTATTTGTCTAGGGGGTATGAAAAGGAAACTGTCTGTTGGTATAGCATTTGTTGGTGGCTCTAAGACCGTGATTCTGGATGAGCCAACTGCAGGGGTGGACCCATATGCCAGGAGACAGATTTGGGAGCTGCTGCTCAAGTATAGGAAAGGTACAATTTAGATCATTCAGTTGTCTTATCCTATTATTGCAGAGCTGAAATTATGTATGATTAAATTCATTTTTAAAATTGCGGCAGATGTAGTTCATCCTAGTTTTTTTGACATTCATGTAGAATGTTGATAATTGCATGTAGTGATGTTTTGTTCTAGGGCGAACAATTTTGTTGTCAACACATTTCATGGATGAAGCAGATATCTTGGGGGACAGGATAGCGATTATATCCCAGGGAAAGCTGAAATGCTGTGGATCCAGTTTGTTTCTTAAGGTAAGAAACTGGGCGTGTAAGGCAAATATCTATATCTGCAATGTTGATGTGGAAAAGGCAGTCAGCTCCATAGCTCAGTGGTAGAACACTCATCCGGCAAGGGAGGGGTGGTGTGTTCAATCCCAACTAGGGTGAACTGTCTTTTTCACATCAGCCCTCAGCGCAGAATTTCATTCTGTGTTTTCAAAACATTTCATCAACAAATTAAAATCCAAGATTCCAAAAAGACTTCCAAAAAATCAATATCAAATAATGATCATATTCTGAACACATGTTACATTTACTTCACTTATAGAGTCGTTATGGGAGTGGCTACTATCTGACAATGGTGAAAGGTGTGCAGCCAGCATACAATACTGGACCCGAGACTGAAAAGAAACCTGATACAGATGAAGCAATAAGACCTGGCAGTTCTCTCAGTGCAGCAACCATCAAAGAAATACATGTAAGTTAAACTTGATGTATTGCTTTCATAGAGAAAATGCTCTTAACTTTTGAAAAGTTCTGTTCAGTTAAGTTAGCATTTTAAGAAGATTGATCATAAGAGACTGAAATATACATATTATTTGATATGAATGAGTTTAAGAGCATTTTTTATGGTACAGAAGTAGTTTACTTGTTTGCATTTACATTAATTCATCAGTATATTTTTATAATTCTGTAGGCTGAGCTAGATGGGGCATCTGAGGTTGATGAGGGAGTGGCAGATGTTGATAAGTCTGATACAGCATCCAGTAGAGACACCCCTCCTGCTAGTGAAACCAATGAAGGTATGTAACAGACAGGATCATCAATTCATTAAGGTCTGGTTTAGAATCTATGGAAATTGGAGACCAAATTTGAAAGGTCTCATATTATGATATTTGTTATAAATCTTTGTATTGCAGTTGAGGCTTCCTATCTGAATATACAAGTATGATATAATCTCAATGTTTCCACATTTTCAAGATTTTCTAAGTCCAATAGATGTTAATACCTGAAATTACTCTTAGCAAAACTGTACCATAATGTACAGGGTGTTAAAAAAAACGCAACCCAAAGAAATCGCTATATCTTGGAAAATACTAGTCCAATTGTGTTCATTTTTTCAGGAAGGAAAGAAGAGACTGTGTATGTATAGCTCATGTTATTAGTTAGTTGTAAAACATGATGCCTTGGACAAATGCTCAAAAGACATTAGTATTGGAAAGATACGAAAAACGCAGTCAGAGACTACTGCCACAGCAATAAAACCAAATAACTTTCTTACCATAGTGTTTTAGCTATTCAAATTTGGCACAAATCATCTTCATTCAATGTATGATAAATCTGTAGAGTGAAATCAAAATCACTCCAGGGACTTTACAGTTTTGGTTGAAATGCTTTCAAAACCCAGTCAAACACCCTGGTTCAGTCAGACTTAAGAAGGCATTTTGACCATGACTGTAAAGTCCCTGGAGTGATTTTAATGAAACTCCCCCAATTCACTACAAATTATATGAAGATAATTTGTGGTGAATCTGAAGTGCCAAAACACCATGGTTAGAAAGTTATTAGGGTTTATTGCTCTGGCAGTCACCTCTGGTTGCGTTTTTCGTATCTTTCCAATACTAATGTCTTTTGAGAAGGTGTCCAAGGCATTATGTTTTACAACTAACTAACAGCAGGAGCTATACACACATAGTCTCTTCTTTCTTTCCTGAAAAAATGAACACAATTGGATAAGTATTTTCCAAGATATAGCGTTTTCTTTGGGTTGCGTTTTTTTTTGAACACCCTGTGAGTACTAATTCTTACATTTCAGTGCTGACTCCATGTGATGATGACAAAGTAACAGAGTTTGTAGAACGCTATATTCCTGATGCTGTACTGGTAGAGAATATCGGCACAGAGCTCTGCTACCAGCTCTCCAGTGATGGCGCCAGTGACGGCTCCTTTGAGAGACTTTTCAGGGGCTTAGATAAGAACATGGCTGACCTTGGGGTGTCCACTTATGGTGTATCAGATACTACACTAGAGGAGGTATGTACCCATAAGGCTATTTTTTTTTGTTACCACAATGGGCTACTTTTTTATTGTATCTCTATTAAATTAATACCTGACAGAAATACATCCAAGAACTGAAACCACGTGAAAATCACTGAATTAACTAATGAGAACATTCTCAAAATATTTTATCGATTATGAAATGTGTTTCTTTGTCATCTCTGAGTTCATAAGATGGCTGCCTTTTTGATTATTAAGTAAACGATCAATAAGATATTATTGCAATTCAAGGTGTTCTTGAAAGTGGCTGATGAATCTGAGAATGGAGAGCTGACAGATGAGACAAGACGTAGTACACTGGACATTATGACAGAAGGTAGATATTCTCATCATTCTACAAAATAGGTTTATGATTTTAGATCATTGATATGATATAGTCAAAGTCACTCACCATTTCTGCTCTTCTTGAAATGTTGGCAACAATTTTAAGAATATCATGTGAACTGCACAGTATATATCTGATAGTAATTTACAGAGGGTATACCTGTCTATTCAACCTATCAATTACATAATAATTAGTTGCCCCAAACTGAAATATTTTATTATCTGCTGGTCAATAATTTGTCCCTTTTCAACATTCAGTGAAAAACTTTCAATTCACAGGTATCATAGATGGACATTTATTACATAACATTTGAAGGGATGAACTTAATTTCTGCATGAGTATATTTGTACTCACAGTACATCATCTATTAAATGCCTATATTTCCCCAGGTAGAAGGAATGCCATAGCAAGATTTAGGAACTACAGGCAGATAGGACATGTTAACAAAGCATTTGTGACAGATGATCACATGACTGTAGATGATGGTGATTTACATAATAGTCCCACATTTAACCCCTAAACACCACAGCATATATATTACTTAAGTTGTACACATTATAAGCATTAAGCCCTCTTATATGGAAATCCCCAAAATGTCTAAAACTGACCTGATCTGTCGGTTATTTTTATTCAAGCTTTTGTGATGGACTGTACACAACCCTGTCATGGGCGTAGCGCTATTTTTATGAGTAGTACGCCACAAAGGGAATACAATGTGAGCAAGCGTTCATGGGATCTGGGGTTGTCCCCCCAGAATATTTTGAAGTGTATTTGCAACCATCTGGTATGCATGGTACTGAGCGCTACGCCCATATATAGTATATTTTAGGTAAATTGTAAGCTGTGACCCCCTTTCACTAGTTCCATATAAGCAGCACACCACCAACCAATCCCATCTCACTTGTACTTTAGGAATTGCAGATCACCTTATTTCATTCTTTATTTTCCCCTGCACATTTATTCAGCTACATAGGTATTGCTTATTTTTCTCCCAATAGGTGGCAGGTATCCAAGACCAATCTCCCGACTGAGCTTTCGAAGCAAATGCCGGAGCTTCTTCGGCAAGAATGGCAAGATTGATTCAAAAGGCTTGCTGAGCAGTAACCCATACTTAGATGATTCAGGTCTGTTACTTAGTGTACTCTCTCATTTTTTAAATATTCAATGATTCTCAATATAATTTTGGATCCTTAAGCCATTTTCAAAATGTATGCTATGAAATGTAAGCCTATTTTGAGTTTGATTGTTGAATTATTGTTGAATTGAACCACCTCTAGAAGCCAATTGAACTACAGTTAGGTACAAAAACTACTATTTCAATGTGTGGTAGGGGGTAAGACATTGCTTTTCCCTTGCACAATATTACAATCTTTAGTTAAGATTTTAGTGTAAACATGTTTTGTTGCATATTTATAGTTGGAAATATAAGTTAGATATTCTACATTTAAGAATTTCTACATTTTATATCCTAAATTGGGAATTCTCCCAATATAGATGTTAATACCATCATAATTTTCTCATGCTAGGTTAATTTTTTACCATTGTATCATCAATCAAACAAAAAATATTTTTTGTATTGAGATTTATTCATTTTTCTGTTGTTATTATTTCAGTGTCTATTGGAGGTCAGTCTGTTGACAGAGGTACACTTTTTATTTACTTTTAGATTTTTTATTTCTAATTTTTCATTATCTTTTATAATTCATCATATTTATTATTTCTTTAGAAACCTCATTCTGTTGTTAGAGATAAAAGCACTTAAAAACATTGACATTTAGTTCAAGATCAATCAGCTCCTCTGTTATTTTTGCAAGGAATCGTGGACTCTTCTATTATTTTGCAGCCTCAACATCAGTTGATATCGGCTCTGAAGTTGAAAACTGCAATGGTACAGGTTCATACAAGATCTCAGGATTCCCCTTGATTCGTAGACAGTTTGTTGCCCTGTTCATCAAACGTTTCCATCATGTTAGAAAGAGCAGGAAGGGTTTTGTTAGTGAGGTGAGGAAAAACTGGTAGTTGATTGGATAAAAAGATGAAGGATTAATGAATAAATTCAAAATATAAATCTTAGTATCCTTACTAAACTGGACGAGAGAGAATAGTTTGTATTTGTAATTCCAATGGTTAGCGAATTTAAATGAACCCATTTATCCTTTCTTGAGAATTCTGCCAGTTCAACCAATCTGAGAATGTAACACCATGGTTACTTGATTAGTGGGTCATCCAGTCCACCTATATGCAAAATTATGTCTCCACCAGAAGTGTTGACGTATTGTTATCGTTTCCATCTTATTTGTGGATGGTGTTCGGCGGTCAGAGTTGGCAGTCACTGTTTGGCAGGTGGCATCTGGTGTCTGTTATAAATGGCAGGTCGATGAAGTTTTGCATGTTAAAGCCTTTTATATTAATAAATTGAACAGAATGCCGATTTCCACCCTCCTTACATGACCTTCTGATTCTATTCCAGATTCTCCTCCCTGCAGGGTTTGTTTGTCTAGCTTTGTTAATTGCTAGTATTATTCCACCGTATGAACAAGACCCACCCCTTGAGCTTCATCCCTGGCAGTACAGCAACGTGAAAGGCAAACAGGACCAACAACTCTTTACATTCTACAGGTACTGAAGTTATCTTAATTTGGGTTTATTAACCAATCATTAATCAGGTAGTAGTAGGTTCTCTTAATTTATTCACCAATTGGTTCATTCACCAGTTGATGTTGTGTATTATAGGGATGTAAGCAACATATTTTCCAGAGAACTTGAACGTGAACAAAATGATGTTTATTATTTCAGCAATGATGCCCCAGATAACAAGTATGCTGCAAGGTTTGAAGAGTTAATGCATACTGGTCCTGGACCTGGCACAAGATGTATGAACTCATCCATCTATGAAATAAGGTACTTAAATCTAATTAATCTAATCTAATTACATGTAAAACTTAACATGCATGCATTAGCCATAAAGAGCTACTTGTATTGTTCTGTTGAATTAAACCAGTTGACAGTTTTCTTGTAAGTTGAAAGAGGAATCAATTAATATGAATAATTTTTTGAAATTAAATTATATTGATCTTTTCAGTGGTTTCCCATGTCAGAACCAGTATGCAAATAGCAAATGGTCTCCTATCCCAGAATACAATGCAAATATGACGTCTGACTGTGACTGCAGTACAGGACGCCAGGAATGTCCAGCTGGAGCAGAGGGACCTGAACCACCATATAAAACTTTGCAGACAACAGACTTCCTGTATAATATGACAATGAGAAACATTTCTGATTGGATAAGGAAAACAAGATGGGATGATCAGTATTTTCAGAAGAGGTAAAAACTTGATGTTTTGGATAAGAAGAGCAAATTAATACTTTTGCCGAAACTTTCTTAAGAAATGTCTTTTTACTGAATTAAAAATGCATACCATATCATGGTACTCTTTTTAATATACCTGTTCATGTACCTAATTTTCGCCTTTACATTAAAAATGATACAATAAAGATTTTACATGATAGGAGTGTCTTGAAAGCATCATTATATATCACTGAATTCAAACGTTATACTCAGGTATGGTGGGTTTTCATTTGGTGAGGTCAACCAGGATGTCAATGTGAATGTGACAGGAGTGAATAATCTACTACAGAGGATCTACAAGGAGTTCAATGACAGGGACATCCCAGGGTTACAGTTCAATGTCTCACAGAACATCACAGAGGACTTTGAAAATCTACTTAATGATTTGTATACGAGGAATAATGCAAAGGTAGGTCTTAGTAGTGCTCTTCGCTTTAATAACATGTACATTGAAGGATGAGTGAAACATTCTGTTCAATATTACATGTATCAGGCATAATGTACTATATACTAATGTACTATTTTTCACTTGATCCCTTCCATATTGAAGCATATAGAATTGGATGGAATGAAGAATGCAAAAGTTCACAGTTGTGTCTATAATTTTGATAAGCCTTTTTCTTATATCTATACCAGGTGTGGTTCAACAACAAAGGTTGGGCATCTATGCCTATCTACATGAACGTAATGAACAACATGATCCTACGTGCCAACCTCCCTGCCAGTGAAGACCCCCATAACTATGGTATCACTACATACAGCTTCCCTGTCAATCTCACCAAGTCACAACTTGATGATAAATTATTGTAAGTACTGCTAGTACATTTGTACTTGATTCAAGTTATTCAACCAATACATGGCCTTCCAATTGATGTTCATTGGCATTTGCATCGCCATAATTGTCCACTACACCCTATTCAGATGCAGTCTATTTTTCTAGTTTTCTTCTTATTTAATTTTCCCCTATAGTCATTACATGCATGTATTTTATGGGTTTCATTAGTATTTTTAATAATAGAATAACAATAGGTAAAATATTGAAAATTGTAATTTTAGTATGAAAACAGTTGCAAAATTCGCATGTCGACTTCAATCCTAATTTAATAATTTTGTCCATTTTCTTTCCAGGGACTCATCTGTGATAGATGTCTTAATTGCGATCTGTGTAATCTTCGCGCTGTCCTTCATTCCTGCCAGTTTTGTCATCTACCTCATTGAAGAGAGGACGTCTAACTCGAAACACCTCCAGTTCGTCAGTGGAGTGAATCCTGTTATCTATTGGTTATCAAACTTTGCCTGGGATATGGTGAGTCCATCTCTTGTTTAATCGTATTTATTTCTAATTAGGGTGCAAAATGTTAGACATATTTAGGGTGCAACATATTTTTAGTGTCAGCTAGAAACATTACGATACTGCAACAAGTCATAGGGAAACACACCTCAGGGTTCCAATAGATACCATTATTCCATAATACTACTGTTTTCACAGGGAAATATGAAGAAATAAAAATCGTATTGAATCGTATTACATGAAAAAATCGTATTGTCCTCGGGAAAAATCGTATTGGAGCGTATTACATGTAAAAATCGTATTGTCCCTGGGAAAAAATCGTATTGGAGCATATTAACCTATTCTTAGTTTCCCGGTTATTTTTTCCCCGTTATTTACATTATCCAAATGTAACATTTTAGACGGATATTTTATGGAATAAATAGGTTATTTCTGGTCGGGATTGAATATGGGTTTTATTCCTCGGAAAATATGACCTTGGTCAATATCATATTACCCTTCGGTCAATATCATATTGTCCCTTGGAATAAAACCCTGGTTTTAATATTCAATCCTTCCCAGTAAATAACCTGTATTTCTTGTTTAATATTAAATATATATATTTCAGTTGAACTATGCCATCCCTGCCATTCTTGTGATATTGATATTCCTGGCATTTAACCAGAAGGCATATGTATCAGCAGCAAACTTCCCTGTGCTTCTTCTCTTGCTGTTCCTCTATGGGTAAGTAAACAAATCAGAGGCTGCACCTTTGTTTCATAAATGGGCTTAACTTCTATTTTATCATAAACACTCAGTTCTCAGTTCTCGGCTCCATAGTCTTAATTTTGTTTCAAATTTCAATAGATGGCTTTAAATTGTTTTGATATAATTTTTACAGAACATTTATCACTTATAATTACTTTCAGCTGGTCCATAGTGCCGATGATGTACCCTGCCTGTTATGTATTTGAAGTTCCCAGCTCTGCCTTTGTTGGCTTGTCCTGCATCAACGTATTCCTTGGCTTCACCTCCACCATTGCCACCTTCACTCTACAGCTCTTCAATGATGATGTGAGTAGATGGAGATTCATTTAGTGAAGAAAGCTTACTTTCAATGTCATACATGACAATGTTCAAAAGCATCAAGTATGACTCAAATCCCCAAAATTTCTGGATTTCATTATGGGTACTGACCAGACCTCATGATACCGTCAGTTTTAGCAGTGATATTACAGCTAGGGGGGAGGGTTATATGTGTTAGGAACTCGGCAATATGACCAGCTCAGCAAATATCCTAAAATGCTCAGGGGTAGGTCAAGCTCTGGATAATAAACCTTGTTTATGCATGCTATCTGCGGTTATGGAGAAATGATTATGAAAATAGATTTTAAATCATTGTTTATTCTGGCTTAATCTAGTGAAGTAATTTGAAAGAGTAATGTCACTTCCTAATGTGTTATTCAATGTTGCAGGAGTTGACAAATATCAACAACATTCTGATGCAAGTGTTCCTTGTTCTCCCTCACTATTGCTTAGGGAGAGGGCTGTTTGATCTCACAAGGAACCAACTGCAGTCAGATATTCTAGCCCAATATGGTAAGAAGTTATTATCTTTTATGGCCATGACCAACAAATATAAACAATATAGCACCAACATATCTCAGTCCATGAATTCTTGACTTTTATTATTTACTATTCAAAATCTCATTTCATTGTGCATGCGCATTGTCCATTTTTATCTCTCGTATAGTATGGGATTTTCAATACCATGTGATGAGTTAGTATGTAAAGTTTAATTATAACTGTTGTTGTTTAGCTCAACCTTAAATTGTTGGTATTAAGCCCATCACTACATTTGTATTTTGCCATCACATTGAAATAAAATGATGGATTGTATCATTGCAGGGGAGAGTAGTTTTACAGACCCATTTAAGTGGGACCTTGTTGGGAGGAACCTTTGTTGTATGGCTATACAGGGGGTGGTATTCTTTGCCTTTAACTTACTCCTCCAGTACAGATTCTTCTGCAGTCCAAGGTAAGTTAGTTAATATCAGAATCTAGGTTGCAACCAGTGTTATTTATGAATCAAAGCCAGGACAGTTTTCATTGAATTGTGAACATCTTTGGAAATGGTTAACAAGCGTGCAGAAGCAATATTGACATCTTATAGTAAAGGAAGTCCATCCAAAATTGTTTGGATGAAAATAAAATTGTTCATTGTTCCTATATACATGCACCTTTAACCATGTACTTGATCAATGATCTTACTCATTAATTAACCTTTTTTCTTGCAGGTTTATCAAACCTAGAGAGACTAATTTAGATGATGAAGATGAAGATGTGGCTCGTGAAAGGCAAAGAGTTATCACAGGAGGAGCCAATGATGACATGTTGAGAATTGAAGAGCTTACAAAGGTTAGTGTTTCACCTTGCATAAAAATTGAGAAATGTGAATAACATTGCATCATCTTCCCATTTCCAACAATCAGTTTGAAACCTTTTTGAATTTTTCCCATATTTTTAAAGATTCGCAGTTCAAACAGTTCACATTTTAAACTATTCACATTTTTCACATCTCCAAAGTTTCATATTTTAAACAGGGCCTACACCTTTAGTGATGAAAATCACATTATATAGATGTCTCCACCTTCCTGTATTTAAGCAGAAAGTGGAGGCTAATACTCTGCTCAATAGTCAGGAATATTTAGGTGAAAATATTTCAAAAATATATAGAAGCAATTTTAAGGTGGATTTCAAAACTTCATACCATTCTTTTGAAAACCTGAAGTGGCACCAAGCAATCCATTGACTTTTTCACCAAAAATCCAAGATGGCCGCCACGATGTATCGAAAAATCATAAAAATTGACTAAAGTTGTAATTTAATAAGTCAAAATAGTTGTATACTGATCAAACATGACTAATAATAGTACCTATTAGATGTTCATATGCAGTTAAAGTCACTGGATCATTTTTGTATGAAAACTGGAGTCCCACAAGGCTCAATTTTATGTCCGCTACTTTTTTTGTCTAATGACTTGCATTGACCATGGCATTTGCACATAGCAGTGGATACTTATCCATTTTTGAAATGTAAGCACCCAGGACCACATTTCACCGTGCACCCATACTTGACCAATGCTTGGCATGCCTTGGCTGCTTGAGGAAGGGATGTCAATAGTGGCACCAGTAGAGACATGTCATACTTCCAGCCCCATGTTGTGAACTCCTATACCAATTTTAGATGGAGATTGTACAGTTGCCCTCAAACAATACCACCTTGGTTAGCAAGTTCTTAAGATTTTCTGAGCAAGGCCTCCTTTTGTTGGTTGTATTCTGTCAATGACTGTATGGCCGCCACAGAACATTAGTCTTCGTGCTGCATTGATATCTATCTGGTTGCTGGTTCGATCATATAATAGAACAGTAAAACAGTCTAGGGACTGAATGGTCTGAATTTACAAAACCAGGTTTGTTGTAAGCATTTGTGCCACTCTTTTGTAGAAAAGCTGGAGTAACTTCCTTGAACACATTCCATAGCTTGAAGGCAGATCCTTTGCTATGGCCAAAGAATGATGCAGTTAATATAATTTAATATCTGTAATTTTTGAGAGGTTCGAAGGCAATCCAGATTGACACTTATTGGGCCTTAATTATTATTATTATATCTTGGTTACCGCCATATTTGGCGAGCAATAGCTCATTGGTATATTCTGTACTTTACATATTTTACATTCGAAGACAGAGCCAGAAACCCCTCCTTGGAGGAGCCCTGTGTTCTTTTGTGTGCACAGGTACACAGACATACAGGTACACACCACAGCCTTTTATACGAGTCGCGAACCACTCAGTCAAACACCCAGAATTACATGACGCACAAACAAACTTGTCTGAACCGGGAATCGAACCCGGAGCCAAGCGATATTGGTAACCTTGACTCTGCCACTGAGCCATAGCGGGTGGACTAATGCTGCAGCCATGGCAAGAACTACTACATCAGTATCTCCACTTCTGATTATGAAGTCTTTTTTTCCCTCTGAGGTCATCTGTTTTACATGAACAAAGAGTCTAGTGTCAACTTCTTCATGAGTACAAGGTTCAATCATTGCTGTATCTGGCAAGTGAGGAAATCACTGAACAGATTCCACAATAGTAGTTATCATTTGCTTGTCATTTACATCAACCTCAAAAATAGAGTTGGCCAGGAATGCTAACAGCTCAGTCTTGTTCTGGCCATTTCTTAGAAAGCCTAGCCAATTCTTGGGCATCGGATTCTCTGCATAACCCATCCAGTGCCACGATGAATCCTTGTCAGGGACTTCCCACTGTTTTGTTGGTAGACATCCCAGATAGCATCTAATCTTGAAACACCTTCCATAAGCTGCCTTAACTTGGGATGAGACATTGGTAGCATATTCTTGGAAGTTGGTAGCCACACCAGGACGCATCACATAGACCAGAAGGGTGCCAACTATTAAAATTGCATCTGCAGGTTTTTTCCAATACTTCAGATCCATCTGGCTTAGCTTCTCAACATTTAAGTAAGTCTGCTTCTGTTGTAGGTCTCATGGCTCCATGCTTAGCTAGGGATGGCCTGAACTCATGTTTTTCATGTTTGAAAAACTCAGACATGTCAACGTGTCTTGATTGGCATCCCGTCATCCCTAGCTAAGCACAGAGCCATGTGACCTACGACAGACTTACTTAAATGTCTAGAAACTGGTCCTTTCATCCCAAGTTAAGGTAGCTTATGGAAGGTGTTCCTAGATGTTGTCTGGAATGTTTACCTACAAAACAGTGACAAGTCCCTAACAAGGATTCATTGTGGCACTGGTACTAGAAGGATAGTTTATGCAGAGAATGTGATGCCTAAGAATTGCCCAGCTTTTCTAACAATCAACGGAACAAGACTAGGCTGTTTGCATTCCTGCTCTATGTCTGAGTTTGATGTTAATGACAAGCAAATGATAACTTCTATTGGAGAATCTATTCAGTGCTTTCCTCAATTGCCAGATACAGCAATGATTGGACCTTGTACTCATGAAGAAACTGACACAAGACTCTTTGTTCATATAAAACATGACCTCAGAGGGTAAAATACTTCACAATCAAAAGTTGAGATACTGATGTACTTGCTCTTACCATGGCTGCAGCATTTAAGGGCGTAATAAGTGTCAATCTGGATTGTCTTCAGACCTCTCAAAAATTACAGGTATTAAATTATATTATATTAGCTTCACCATTCTTTGGCCATAGCAAAGAATACCACCAACAAAAGGAGGCCTTGCTCAGAAAATCTTAAGAACTTGCTAACCAAGGTGGTATTGTTTGAAGGCAACTATACAATCTCCATCTAAAATTGGTATAGGAGTTCACAACATTGGGCTGGAAGTGTGACATGTCTCTACTGGTGCCACTTTTGACATCCCTTCCTCAAGCAGCCAAGGCATGCCAAGCATTGGTAAAGTATGGGTGCAAGGTGAAATGTGGTCCTGGGTGCACACATTACAAAAATGGATAAGTATCCACTGCTATGTGCAAATGCCATGGTCAATGCAAATCATTAGACATAAAAAGTAGCGGACATAAAATTGAGCCTTGTGGGACTCCAGTTTTTATACAAAAATGATCCAATGAATTTAAATGCATATGAACAACTTATAGTAGTGGTCGGACTCGCCAGAAAATCTCCACTCGAGTGGGCCATGAAAAACCACGATTATATTCGCGATTTGACTTAGTTGAGTTACTTCCGGTTTCAGTTTCCCAATTAGCGGCAGAATTCATCAATTTGATCAAGTCTTTCAAGTGTCTCTATACTTTTTATTGTCTAAATCGTATTGCACATCCCTATAGATCGTTAAAGTTCACCCCTAGTCCCCTATAGATAGTAAAACTTACCGGATAAGTAGTGAAAACAAACTTCGTCAATCCAGAAAGTTCCAGGATGCACCGCGGTAGACAAATTTTAAAATTCCCGGCTGTTGGATATTCCCAGAATGCATCAAAGCGGAAATGAAACTTTTGCATAAAAATAACGAACGCAGAATAAAATCCAAGTATGTTTGTCTTCCGCACATGGCATTAAATAGAAAATAAGTTGTATTCTATACAGATAAAGCAGAATATTACAACTATAAGCATGGAAATAGCGAATAGGAGAGATGAATCGCGAGTCAAGGTAAGGTGAAAACGAGTGAAAAATATTTTTTTGGTAGAAATTTCAAATCGTGAGTTCAAGTTTTCAACTCGATCAATTGATTTTTAGGACAAATGCGAGTAAAACTCGAGTACACGAGTCAGTCTTCCAACCACTAACTTATAGGTACTATTATTAGTCATGTTTGATCAGTATACAACTATTTTGACTTATTAAATTACAACTTTAGTCAATTTTTATGATTTTTCGATACACTGTGGTGGCCATCTTGGATTTTTGGTGAAAAAGTCAATGGATTGCTTGGTGCCACTTCAGGTTCTCAAAAGGATGGTATGAAGGTTTGAAATCCACTTTAAGATTGCTTCTATATATTTTTGAAATATTCTGTGAACTTATCTCCTATTCAAACCCGACTACAAGGAGTATAGCCGGGTGTGAAATTGTCAATTACAATAAAGTGTTACAAGGTGATGTTTTTGATAACAACCCACCTACACATTATTCTATCCTTTCTATGGTTAATTTTTGATCTATTTGACTTCAGCGGATTAAGTAGTTTACATTGTCTCATAAATCAGTTTCCACAGTTTGAAATGTATATCCTTAAATGAGTGAATATATTCTCAGTGACAAATTCTTTCATTTGTTTCCTACGGTATTAATGTAAAAATAATCCATTTCATATAATGTCCTTGTAATTAGACCTGCCTCTAGAAATGTGCAGATATTACAATAAGTCCATCTTGGTGAAGTGTGTCAATGATAGACGTCATTGAGTTCTTCTCTGCAGGGTGTTTTATAATGGCTATAGACATATAGGTCAGATTTGTGTCCCACAATTGAATGTGAAGGACCTTATTTAAGACTTTTTTTTACCTTTAAAGGGGTGGTAGGGAACATATTGCAAATGATATAATTTTTGTTATATTTAATTGAAAGTATAGTTTTTATACATTAGTGAAAAATGAAGCATTTTCTTAGACAGCAGATATTTTAACATAACTTCCAATGCAAAAGTAATTGTTCAGAATAATAATTCTTTTATTATTGTCTTTTCACAATTTGCCTTGAGTGCAATAAATGGAATATTTGAATACAATAATTATTTTGAAATAGAACACTACCCTTCAAGCTATTTTGAATATCAAATGACACTAATGTTTATCTTGGACTTTAAAGTTGACACAACAAACAATACTATGAGCACAATAAGTCAAAATAAAGAATGTACAGTGTACTTTGGAATTGAAAATACC